CTGCTTCGGGGGAGGAGGGACTGTTCCTGGACAAAGACCAGTGTGCTGGCCAAGAAAGGAGCGAATATATCTCCCCTTGAATCATATCACCTTGGAAGAACCAAAAACTTATAGATCCCACTTTGAACTAGCTCTGAAAATAGCAGCACAAAAATTCTGAAGCTTGGGACAGTGTCCCCTCCACGCTGGGAGCAAAGTGTAACTTTAATATAAAGTTAAAAGTCAAGAAATAGTCTGGGGAAAATGAATAAACAATAAAATATGATCTGAACATAAAAATCTACTATGGTGAAAGGGAAGATCAAGACACAAACTCAGAAAAAGACATTCATGTCAAAACAACTATAAGCAAAGCCTTAAAGAGAAAAAAAGTGAATTGGACATAATACCACCAAGAATTCCTGGAAGAGATCAAAAAGGATTTTAAAAATCAAATGAGAGAGACAGAGGAAAAATTAGGAAAAGAAATGAGAGTGATACAAGAAAATTATGAAAAGAGCCAACAACCTAGTAAGAGGCACAAAAATACTGAGGAAATTAACATCTTCAAAAGCAGAATTGAACAAATGATAAAAGAGGTACAAAAATTCACTGAAGAGAAGAACTACTTAAAAAGCAGAATTAGCCAGATGGGAAAAGAGGCACAAAAGCTCACTGAATAAGATAATTCCTTAAAAATTAGAATTAAGCAACTGGACACTAACAACTCCATGAGACATCAAGAAACAATAAAACAAAGTCAAAAATAGAAGAAAATGTAAAATATCTCATCAGAAAAATGACTTAGAAAATAGATCAAGGAGAGATTCTTTAAGAATTATTGGCCTACCAGAAACCCATGATGAAAAAAAAAGAGCCTAGACAAAGTACATGAACTAACTGGCCCAACCATTCTGGATAACAATTTGGAACTCTGACCAAATAGCAATAAAATTGTGCATACTTTTTGACCCAGTAATACCACTACTAGGTCTGTATCTCCAAAAGATCAAAGGAAAAGGAAAAGGATCTATAAGTAAAAAAATAGTAAAAAAAAAAAAACAGTTCTTTTTTGTGGTGGCAAAGTTTTAGAAATTGAGAGAATGCATTTCAATTGGAGAATGGTTGAACAGATTGTGGTGTGTGATTGTGAAGGAATTTTGTTATAATTTAGTCATTTTTAAGTTGTGTCCAACTCTTCCTAACCACATTTAGAGTTTTCTTGGCAAAGATGCTGGAATGGTTTGCCATTTCTTTCTCCAGCTCATTTTATAGATGGGGAAACTAAGGCAAATAGGGTTAAATGACTTGCCCAGGGTAATGCAGCTAGTAAGTGTCTGAGACCAGATGTGAACTCATGAAGATGAGTCTTCCTGACTCCAGGTCCACCACTCTAACCACCACACCATCTAGCTGTTCTTGGGATGGAATACTCTTGTGCTATAAAAAATGATGAACAGAACAGTTTCAGAAAAACTCGGGAAGACATATGAATTCATGCAAAGTGAAGTGAGCAGAACCAGAATATTGTGCACATTAACAACAATATTGTGTAATAATTAATTGTGAATGATGTAGCTAATCTGATCATTACCATGATCTAAGACAGTTCCAAAAGACTTATGATGAAAAATGCTATTCACCTCCACAGAAAGAACTGACAAATTCTGAGTGCAGATTGAAGCATATTTTTTAAACTTTATTTTTCTTGAAGTTTTTATTTACGATATGGCTAATATGGAAATACAATTTGCATGATTTCAAATGCATAATTGATATCACATTTCTTGCCTTCTCAATGAATGGGGGAGGTGTGACAAGGAGGGAGAGAAGTCGGAACTTAATTATTATTTTTAAATGCAGATAAAAATAATTTTTTAAAAATAGCAATAAAAGAAGAATGCTAAAAAATAATTGTGATGTGGAAAACTCCTTGATGAAATGACCCTCACTGCTGCACCTGGGCTTACAACCTCTCCATCAGTCTTAAAGATAGTCTTCTATACAATATTGTTTTGTAACTTTCTCTATATTACTGAGCCTCTCTTTCTAGTTGCTTGCTTTCTCAGTCATGAGGATTAGGCTAATTCAGTGCTCTCTTCTCATTTACAGGGAAAGAGAACTGTAAGGATGGGTCACTGTTGATGGGAAACTTTGAACAGACTTGCAAATGCAGCTACACTAAGGTCAAAGGATGACCAGATAAGATGGATTCAAGAAATCGTAAGAGCAGATAGGAGTGTTGTTAGCAACGTGGTCATCTGTTTTTGTTTAGTTTTGTTTTTCAGTAGGAATTTACTAGTAAGGAAATGTTCTCTATCTTTTTTTATTTTTAATATTAAAGTCACATATCCATTTTGAATCTATCATGAAATATGATGTAAAATATTGGTCTAAGACTAATTTTTGCCACATTGCTTTTCATTTTTCCCAGTTCTTATTAAATAGTGAGTTCTTTCCTAAGTAATTTGTTTTCAAGTTTATCAAATGCTAGGGCATAGTTTCATTATTTTTTATTCTCCTAATTTGTTCCTGTGATCAAACTTCTTTATTCTTAGCCAATACCAAATAGTTTTGATGACTGTTAACTTATAATATAGTTTGAATTCTGGAAGTATTATTCTCCTTTCATTTCCAAATTTTGTCATTATTTCCTTTCATAATCTAGATCTTCTGCTCTTCCAATGAATTTTGTTATTATTTTTAATCAAGTTGTATAAAGTATACCTTTGATTGATATGGCATTAAAGTAATGAATTAACTTTGGTAGTATTGTTATTTTTATTCTATTGGCATGGTCCAGCCATGAGCACTGAATATTCCTCCAGTTATTTGAGTCATTCTTAATTTCTTTATGAAACATTTTGTAATTGAATATATGTTTTGTGAGTTTTGGCATATACACTGCCAAATATCATATCTTGAAGTTATTTTAAATGAGGTTTCCCTATTATCCCCTCTTATGTTTTGTTGTTGACATAAAGTATTGAGTTTTTAGGGTTTATTTTGTAGCCTGAAATTTTGCTGAAGCTACTATCTCAACTATATCTGACGGTTTATATTAAAATTATTAAATTATATTTTATTATATTATGTTATATATGATTAGTATTTATATTATATATTATATTACATTATGAAATTATTAAAATTTTCTAAGTAAACCATTGCATCAGCAGCAAATGGGAATAGGTTTAACTCTTCCTTGTTGCCTGTCTTTACATCTTTAGATTCTCGTTTTCTTGCTATTGCTAACATTTGTAGAACTACTTCAAAACAAAATCATACAAAGACTGGCATGCTTGCTTCACTCTTGCATTTATTGGGAAAACTTCTGTATATTTCCATTGCATATGATGCATGCTTCTGGTTTTAGGTAGAACATTTTTTATGTTAAGAAAGATCTTTCTTCATCTATACAAGGTGTTACACAAGTCAGTGTAGTTCTGAGCTATTAAAGCTTTGTACTTTTTTGTTTCTTATAAGCAACAGATTGTGGGGTTTCATTTTTTAATCTAATCTCATTATTTTATTTTATTGGATTATGTAATGCATTCACATTTAAAGTTATTAGAGTTGTCTAAAAATTGTTCTTTTCTGAAATAGGATTTTTGGTTCCCAGCTCTGCTCCTGATTCTCTGGATTCCTTCACCATGCCACAGCAGCCTGGAATATCCCTCCATCTCTGTAGTCTTTTCCTCTGACTGGTGAGTTCATCTCTTACAATTTCCATTTGAGAAAATGCCCAAGTCAGCCATGCGTAGTCCTTCAGTCCTCTCCCAGGTCCACTCCTGACTCAGGACTTCACCAGGTCCTCAGGAAGATGCCTAACCTTCTTCACTCCCACTGCCTTTAAAGCTCTCTTTTAGGTGGTGTCTTCCCCTATTTAAATATAATCTCCCTGAGGGCAGGAGGAGTCTTTTTTTTTTTTTTTTTTTTTGCTTTAAAGTCTTTGATCCAGCATTTATCATAGTACCTGGCCCAGTGGTAATTACTTCACAAAATATCTATCAATCTATTACCATTATGAGGACTTCCTTCCTTATCAATGAAGTGGCAACTTTTAGTCTTAGAAAATTGACTGGGTCATTGAGTGGCCCAGTGATTTCCTCAAAGTCATACAACCAGTTATGTTTACAGGTAGGACTCAAATCTAGGTTTTCCTGACTCCAATGCTGGCTTCTTATCTGCTATACCATGCTGCTTCTCATAAACTATATAATTACTAGTCCAAGCTGAATAAGGGCTCTCTAATAAGACATTTTTATATCCTCTTGTATCTTAAGTTCATTTCATCTCTTTTAGCTAGAAGGAAAATTTGCATTTTATAACACCAGTAGCAACCAGGTACTACGGTACACAAGCTAAACACGCTTTTAATATTCACAATACTCTTCACAAGATGAACTAGTTATTTTGTGGCAGCATTCCCCTCAACCCCACCCCAGAATCTATACAGAAAATTGCCCATTTACAATGCCTGTGTTGAGCTGCTTTATCTTAACCCTGTCCTCCTCTACCAGCTCATCTGCTAAAACTTAGGAAGTTTTGCAATAGAAATGTTGACAATCCTCATTCACACTGGCACATATGGTTAATCCCAAATATCCAACTTTCCACACAGGAAACAAGCAAAAATTTGCTTACCTTCTTTTTATTTTTTTAAGCTGTTTCCTGATAAAATTATTACTTCCTTTTATTTGGGTTCAGGCTAACTTTTTCAAGCTTTCAGGGCCTCCTGGTTCTACCATATGATGAACAAATTTGTGTTCACACTAACTATATATTCTTAATTTTGAGGTTTCAAGTACATATCTTATTAAGTATAAATTCTAGTAAGAGGAAACAGAATTCACTTTATTCTTTATAACTTATCTACAAACATGGAAAATGATACTTTGAATAGGTAATCATCTGAAAAACTATCTTATTTATCACTCTTAATGCATGGTAATACCAATTTACAGATACACTTAGTATTTCTCAGAGAACAAACTTAATAAAAATACTCAACACATTGGTGTGAATCAAGATTTAACTTTTTATTGAACTTCTGCTTTACATATTTACTGTGTTTCTGTGTGATTGAGGGTAGGTTTTTTTTTTTTCGTTTGCTTGTTTTTGGTATAGCAGAACATGAAATCATTAGTGAGTTGTAGCTACATTTCTTTCTAAAACAAGTTAACTCTAACAAACTGTGTTATTTAGTCCATTCTTCCACGTATGTATGACTTCTGTAGTTTTTTCCTTTTTACTCTGTCCAGAATCTTGACCAAAATGGCAAAAATTTTTAAATTAAACCTATTTAAATGCAAAGAAAACAGTCCATCATAAGGCTAACAAACATTTTTTTTAATATAACTTTGTTCAGATGAACCAGGCACAGAAAAGCTTGTATACACAATATGCAAAGCCATTTATCAACCCTTTTCCAAACTAGTCATCTTACACATCCATAATTAAACATTCATTCTGGAAATTTTTAACACATAGAGAAACTGATAATCTCTCAATCAGACTTCAAAAAGGCTTAAAAGGCAGTGGGGCTCTCAACCGCACTGGAGAACGATAATCATTTTAACTTCAGCTATGTGAGATAGTATTTCTCCTTCTTCCTTTCCACTGTTTTCAAAGCTTTAAATAACAGTGAAGAATAAGCTACTCCAGAGTAACCTAGAATATTCTCAAGGAAAACAGGTGCTGTGGTGAAGTATTAGTATCCAAAACCTCAGCTTCACTACTTAACATACCCCTATATGTAGCCATCGTCAAACTTTGGGTATCAGTAGTAGATTGAGAAGGTGATAGTTAGGGTCCCTGTTTGAAACATACCGATTTTGTGGTAAAAATAAGCATACCAAGAAACATTTGGCAAATTTTTCTAAACTAATAATCATAAATTCTCAAATGGAAGACATCTTTTTTTAATGTGTCACTTTTTATATTGTCATTACTTATCCTTTCCTTTACTTGCAAATCTGACTTAAAGTAAATAATTCTACTTAAACTTAACATGGTTAACTGTTTACCATACATTTTTTTTTAATTACTAAAAATACAATTCTGAAATCTCCTTTTGATTATGCATTATACTTAAGATCACTGCTATGGAAAAATTAAATTCTTCTCTTATTCCAGAATGAACTGTTGATGTTATGAGAATTCTTTCCCTCAGCCTATTTTCTACTATAGAGATTAAGAGTATGAAGTATGCATTATCTAATCTGTAATAGATTAGTATCCATGCTTGTTCCACATAGGTACGGCAATAGGTCCCTGAGGCGCCCTTTCGACAATGACAAACTCATCAGGGTTGCCATATGCTTCATAGTGGATCAACAAGTCTTGTATTGCACGTTCCTCAACCTAAAGAGGAAAAAAAGGGGAAAAAAATTAAACTTAAGCTAAAGATTGTAGAGGTCAAGTAGAAAGACAGCCATTGCTAACTCTGTAATAATCACATTTTAAAAAATGGGAGTGCTAAAACAGACAAACAGTAGACTGTAAGCTTTTTGAGAACCAGTTGTATCTGGTTTGTCTCTTTTCTTCACATTACCTTGCATATAACAATCATTTGGTGGATTAAGTTGAAACTGCTTTTGTTAGAGAAAAAGAAAAAACTTCCTCACAATTCAAAGTTTCTAAGTTAAATATTCCAAATGCCCTCCCATTAATATTTACCCTAGGGGCCCATTGAGTTTTGTTCTTATGTGTTTTTAACGCTTCTGATCTGGTGGACTGATCTAAGAGACTGCTTCTGCCTACAAAACGACAATTTCCTAAAGAGTTAACGGTAAGCTTCGAGTTGTCCCCTCACCTGGATCAGGGCCAGCGGTTTTTCTCGAATCCTGTTCAGAGCTGCCTCTTGCTGCAGCTCTTCCTCCACAATAGCTGCAAAAGTGACAGGAGCGTTCACAGGAGCGGCAGTCAGTGATGAGGACAGCCAAGGACTGCGAGAGAAAAACTGTTGTGAATTTTCATTTATCATTCAAAGCAAAGTCATAAAATGTGTTCTTCAGGAACAGGCAATTTGATACAGGTCTTCCAGCCAGAGAGACCTGAATTCAAGTCCTCCACCTGACACATACTGTTTGTGTGAGCCTGGGGAATTCACTTAACCTCTCAGTGCATTTGAGAATTCTAAGACTCTTAGCTACAATGAAGGTGTTAATGACCTAAACTAGAAGAGGGAGTTTCCACATCCAGCACTTCCCAATACCAATGAAAACACAGGTCATAATAGTATGATGACGACGATGATAACAATCGCAGTTAGTCTTTAGAGAGCATTCTAAGGTTTGCAGGGCAGCTAGGTGGTACAATGGATACAGAGTGCCAGGCCTGGAGTCAGGAAGGCTCATCTTTGTGAGTTCAAATCTGGCCTCAGATACTCAGATAGCTGTGTGATCCTGGGCAACTCACTTAACCCTGTTTACCTCAGTTCCTCATCTGTAAGATGAACTGGAGAAGGAAATGACAAACTACTCCAGTATCTTTGCCAAGAAAATCACAAATGGGGTTATGAAGAATCAGACACAAATGAAAAACAGCTGAACTAAGGCTTGTAAAAAGCAAACAGGTCCAGCCCCTAGCCTCATATTATATACTACTCTTTATCAGTGTTTTATTAACACTAATACATTTTAGCTATTTTCACAAAATAAACAAGTTGGCACAGAATTTTTTTTTAAACAGCTTCAAAATTAATGAGGTAGGAGGCAAGAAAAGGAGGACTAAGTGGCAACTATCATTCTATTCATGACTAAATAGGAATGGAATATAAGGGTATCAGCAAGGAACAGGAACTTAAGAGAAATCATGAAACAAGACAGTATTCCTCAAGTCATACAACTGTCTTTTTTCATCCCCTCCTTCTATTAAAAACCCTTTGCTATGGTTAGTTAGCATCCCAACTTTGGAGGATCTAAAAAGCAGTTAGAACCAGTGAATTCAACCTTACTTTGGACTCTCTAGCAGTGGCAAATCTGAAGTATGGTCACTTTCTGGTCCTTGGTTACTTCGTGTTGAATATCTACAAAACAAATACCAAAAGCAATTATAAAAATAATCTGGCACTGAGTACTGACAAATAATTAGTAGAAATTCTAAGTCAATGAGAAAGGGAACAGATTACTAAAATAAGCTCCAGAGAATCAAAGATCTATAGTTAAAAAATTATGTAATCCACCCTCTCATTTCATTAAATAGAATGACATGTCTCATACATAAAGTTATGTAGATGACAACTACCAGTGAGATGCACTTTATACTATACAACCCTGACTTCTCACTGAAATCTGAGAGAGCCAACAAAAGAATATATGTACATTCATATCACTTATAAATGTAAAATTATTATTGAAGGCCCTGCAGAAAGCAGTTATAGTCTTAAAGCATTGAAAGGTACCGAAAATCAGAAAATCTTTTTTGTTTTCTTATTAATACTATTCATATGCATAGTAATATATTACATTTCTATTTCATTGTCTCATCATGCCATGAAGATGACACTAAATTCTTAGCATCACAGATATAGGGCTGGAAGAGACCTTTGAGGTCATTTGGCCCAACTTCTTCATGTTACAGATGAGAAAACTAAGGCCCCAAAAAGTTACATGACTTGTTTATGATCACATAGGTACTAAGTGGTAGAGAGTCTTCTGCCTCCAAATGTTTTTTTTTCTTTTGCACTAAACTGCTTCCAAGATAATAACCAAAAAAATGAAAGCTATGGCAGGTCCTTTAATAATGATAATGATGCTAATAATATTAATAACTAGTATTTATATATTACTTTCAGGTTTGCAAAGCATTTTACATAATTTATTTCATTTGCTCCTCACAATAATCTTGGGAGGTAGGTGCTATTATTATCTTCCTTTTGCAGGAGACAGAAGTTAAGTTACATGCTCAATGATAGAACTCCTAAGTGTCTGAGATCTGAACTTAAATCTTCCTGACTCTTAAGTCCCATCCTCCACCCACTGCGCCACCTAGCTGTTTCCAGCTGGAAATGTTTCCAAGTACAAGTATGGTAAAGCACTGTGTGTCTGTTCTCTGAGGACCAACCTAAGTTCAGAAAAATTCATTACCGTCAGGTAACTTTTTTTACACCATCTATTAATTCTGAGATGGAGGGGATGCAGCCTATACTAATAGAGAGAACACCCACCCTGATGAAATCACAAATATTTAAAAGCAATGGAATTATTCACAAGGCTACTTTTATTTCAGTGATCTGGTATGTCCTCTACTGACTCAGATCACAATCCTTTCATGCTCTCTCATCTGGTTTTGTTCATGTTTCCTAAGTTCTCTATATAGTATGATTCTCTATACAGTATGATTTCAGTAATATTCTATTTTCAATATGATGTTGTTGTTCAGTTGTGCCCAACTCTTTGTGATCCCATTTGAGGTTTTCCTGGTAAAGATACTAAAGTGGTTTGCTATTTTCTTCTCCAGCTCATTTTACAGATGAAGAAACTGAGGTAAACAGGGTTAAGTATTTGCCCAGGATCACACAGTCTGAGGCCAGATTTGAAGTAAAGAAGAGAAGTCTTCCTGACCCTAGGCCTGGCATTCTATCCACTGTACCACCTACTGTTCCATTCTCCATATAGTAGTTTAAATAGGATGGTTTCCCATCCTATTTACTTTTTAGTCATGCTCCAGCTTGTCTATGTCCGTACTTACATATAGAGAATCAAAATTAATTCAGTATACCAGAAGTGATCTGATCAATGCAGAAGCAGAAGGGACTGCCACTTCCCTTGCTCTGGATACCATATTTCTATTAATGCTGTGCGCGCGCGCACACACACACATACACATGCACACACATAAAACTAGACCACATTCTGTACCCAATGAACAAAAAGTCAACTAAAACCTTAGATTTTTTTTTTAAATAAAATACTGTTGGGTTACTTTCCTAGCACATGGGACCACTGCCAACTATTGCCACTGGTGATCAGTTAATCTGCCAAAATGGTCTGTCACTCTCAAAGGGAAACCAGAATGTTACCTAACCAATTATAATTACTTAAGAAGTCAATAGCAGCGACCATAAATTAATCATTAGGATGTGTACTACCATAAATGACATTTGGTCAGTTGAGACACCTTCACCTAAATTTGGAAGGGACAAACAATACAAATTTAATGAAATCACAAGTAATTTTCCAAGATTTTCATATACTACAAACCTGTCATGTTATAAAGTCTTTTTAGTCATCTAAAATTTATGCATGGATATTAAAGGGCCTCAATCTATAATTAAAATTTTAAATGCACTTTTTTTTTTTTTGCTGAGGCAATCAGGGTTAAGTGACTTGCCTAGGGTCATACAACTGGTAAGTATCATGTGTCTGAGACCAGATTTGAACTCAGGTCCTCCTGATTCCAGGGTCAGTGCTCTATCCACTGTGCCACCTAGCTGTCCCATTAAATGCACTTTCAACTAATGATCAGGTAACAATATATATTATTCTTCCATTAAACTGCTATGATACCTTGTACTTTAGAAGTGGCCCAGTGTTCTTAAAGGCGACACAAGGGGAGTGCAAGTTTCACCACTGTACAGCGAGTCCTATCAAACTGAAAAAGCTTCAAAGGGAAGGCCCAAAAACAAATTGTAGTCCAACAACTAGCTTAGCTAAAAGGCAGAGAAGTTCACTGCAAAAAGGCTGCCCACTCAAAGAATTTTTTTTTTCCAACTATGGAAATCCTGGAAACTATCTACTCAGGCACAAAGTTTAAAATCAATATTTATTAAATCCTTGAATCTTTTAAAACATTGAAGTAATATGAATCATTATGTTTAGGATCTAATATTAATAAAAACAGTTGCCTCAAATGCTGATAATCTCCTTAAAATTCTAGTCTTTTAAAAACAAAAGTCAAAAAAAGAAAGGTTAAGTAAAAATTTTGAAGTATATAACCTGGTTTTCCTTCAAACTGATTCACAGTGTAATAAAACTTAAGGCCTAGATTTCAGAAATTAGCAACTAAATTAACTATAAACAAAGAAATTACAACTGATATAATCAAATAATTTTTTCCCTTTTTCCTCACTAGCGGCCATTACTAATTAGAAACTCAAAAATCATTATTTTCTGTCAGATTTTAAAAATGAGTGTCAAGACAAGGGAGAAAAAAAAAGCCCATACAAGTTTGTAACTAGCCTGAGGCAGAAATGCACAACTGTTTTTACTAAAAGTTTAAGCATGATTCCACATTTTATAGACATGAAAAATTAAGATCTATATTACATCTATCAAGTAGATTCTAAGCTGAAGAATATCTTAACATAAATGTCAGATAGAAAAACTTGTGCAAATGACAGTGTTGAAGGTTTTATAAACTAAAAATTTATAAGAATAAACAGAGGTCGCAGATGTCTCTAAAACACACAAGAATACAGTGCTATTCTTAAAACTATTTACTAGTCTTGAAAAATCATGCTTTTTACAATGATCAGGAATTCAGGTCATTTGTGGAATTTCCTGAGATGCCTTTTAAAAAAGGAAAAGATGAATTACTATTATTTATTATGTTGCCTCATTTCCAACTAATTACCCACTACTTCCCTGCTCAAACCCTCTACACTTCAGCCTAAATGATTTACTCCCCTGTCAACCAAATATGCCAGAAGCATTCCTTTATCCATGCTTTTGCTTTTTGCTGACCTGGAATACTTTCCAGACTCCTCTCCATCTCTTTAAGTCATTCCCCTTCTTTTCAGCCCAAATGAATTACCTATAAAACACTCATTTAGCAGCACTTACCACATGATCTTTGTGCTATCTTTTGTATCACTGTTATATAATTAAATACAAGGTCTGCACTCAATAATTTTGAATTTATGTTTTAAGTACTGTAATGATATTTAACTTATTTGTGTTTTTTTCTCCAGACAATAAATGCTTTTAAAACAAGGATACTTGATTATACTTTTTTGTACACTTTATAGGGTTCTAGGCACAATATTTTGCACACAGCAAGTATTCAAAAAGTATTTCTTAAATGAATCAGTATTCTATTTCACATATTATGGTCATGATTAAGGTCACATTAAGGTCAATTAGACCCATTTATGTCAATATGTTGTTGCTCAATCATGTCTTACTCTTCATGACCCCATGTGAGTTTTCTTGGCAAAGATACTGGAGTGGTTTGTCATTTACTTCTCCAGCTCATTTTACAGATGAGGAAACTGAGGCAAACAGGGTTAAGTGACTTGCCCAGGGTCACACAGCCTGAAGTGTCTGAAGCCAGATTTAAACTCAGGAAGAAGAGTCTTCCTGACTCTAGGTCTGGCACTCTATCCACTGTACCATCTAACTGCTCCCTCTGTCAATATATTTGACAAAATAAAAGAAAACAAAACAAAATAACCCTGCCTGTATTTTAATAATATTCTTCCTGCCATTCCTGCATCTATGTATACCATATAGCTATTTAAAACAACTCACAGTTATTAAATGGACATAAAACATTGTATTAGGTTCTACTACAATAGCACAGAGTATAAAATTATTTTCTAAAGTTGGAAAAGCTATTAAATAAGTATTCATATAAAAGTAAATAATTAGTAGCCTTAAAAGTATAGTACACTCTGGCGATCAATTATAGAACAAATATTTTGTCCCAGTTCCATTTAAATTAAAATTCTTAGACGTAATATTATTTATTCAATTAAGAAAACTTCCAGGGATAGTATTTAAAACAATATAAACGTTTAAGCCAAATAAAATATAAACAGTAATTTATACGCAACATTAAAACCTGTTCTGAGAAATTCAATTATTCACTATAGTAAAAGCCATCATGAAAGCTTATTTCTTATATCAGCAATGCAATTCTAAGATTAAAAAGCATGAATTTTTTGGTGTGTAAACAATATAATACAGAGAAACCATTTTCCTTGCACTGGATGGGATTATACAGTTTTAAATGCAATTTGATAGGTCTGACAGACTTGTGGTAAAGTGTGAGGAGGGATGAAGGAGGTGGGGAGATGCAAAAAAAATTAGACCTGAATATATAAAATTTTAAAGAATTAAAAGCATTAAGTTTTTTATTTTTTTTTGCCTAAAAGAGAGGAAACTAAAGTTAAGTGCACCTTTCACAGAGTAGACACTCAAGTATTTATTGATTTGATTGTATCATGACCACTAAATGGTTATTATATTCATTTATAACTTCAAGAGCTCTCCATTTTAAGAAAGATTTGAGTGATATGTAAGAAAGTATTCCGTGAAATTAATACATTACAGAGGAAGCAAAATTTTACTTTCCCAAAAATCTCCAAAAAACAAAAAAGTAAAATAGAGCTATGGTGTTATGAGTGGATTTGATGACTTCCAGAGGTCCTTCCAGATGCAGGGGATATAGTGGACATGAAATCAAAGCAATTTGGCTTCTCTGGGCCTCAGCTTCCTCATCCATAAAGATCTAGGCAGTCTCTAAAGTCCCTAGATCTAGAACTCAATAAATGCACACCTTTTATTAACAAGCTCAAGAACTCTCAATATTTCAGAAATTTCTCCATTGTATGAAATGGGCATACTATCAACTATGCAAGCAAAATATTTATTTGAGGGCACCTCAAATTTCAAAAACAGATAAAATTATGGCTTAAGATACTTTAGTGAATCCAATCAACAATCATTTATTAAGAGTCTATGGCATATAAGCACTAGGGATATAAAGACAAAAATGAAACCGTCTCTATCCCTCAAAAGCACTGAGGAAACAACAGGTACAACATAACATATAAGTATATACAAAATAAAACCAAGATAATTTGTGCGGGCACACACCAACAACTAGAAAGATCAAGAGAAACCCCATGTAGGAGGGGGCAGTTAAGCCATGCTTTAAAGGAAACTGGAAATTGTAAGAAACCTAAGGATGAAGTTCCTTGGAGGCATGGCAGATACCCTGTACAAAAGCACAAAGATGGGAGATGAAGTCTCCTGGGTGAGAAGCAGCAAGAAGGCCAGTTCAATTGAAAAGCAACATAGGTGAGAGAGAGGAATGCATAATAAGGCTGGAAAGGTATGTTGGACCCACATTTTAAATGCCAAATAGAGGAGTTTACATTATGTTTGTTCAAGTATGATTTTTGGAAGGCATAATTTGAAAGACAAATATTAAAATGTTCCATTTACTTAGACAACCAATAAAACTCAGCCTTCAACAACTGTGTTTTGAAAACTAGTCACTTCAGTGCTTCTCTAGGATTCAGTTTTCTCATTTGTAAAATTAATATGTCAGAATATATGTTGTCTAAGGTCCCTTCTAGTTTGAAATATTATAAATATGAATAAGACTGGGTTACTAAAATATCTTCTATTATAAATGTTACCTACATGTCAGAACAAAGCTGTATTCTACGGCATTCTATCATGGGAAAACTTGCCTAGCAATGTTACTTTTGACTATAGAGATGTTATCCTTCTACATGTATCCATTCTTTAAAACTTCACACATGAAATGTCTGAAGACAAAATTCAACAGTGAGAATGAGGAGGAGAAAAAAGAAAACATCTGAGGATCGTTTTCAGACAGAATTTTCTTAAAAATTAGCACAAAAATGTTCATTTTTAGAAGCATAGGCTCATCTCACTCCCAAATATAACATTTTCAAAATGTGAAAGCTCTTTAAAATACTGCAGAACATAGAAAAAAAATTCCTGAGTGGAAAATGCAAATTATTATTCTATTACCTTACAGACTTTAAAGCTTGAGAATCTTCAATTCCTTTAAAGCAAACTTTTTTGACATGATTTCCTGGAGTGTGATTTGTAACCGATTTTTTTTCTTCCAGTAAGAGATCCCAGAACGACTTGGATGAAGTTGAATTGAGAGAAGATGTCCTATGAGAGAAGGCACATCAATACGTTTTAATTTTTAAAACTACTTCAGTGAAAACACAGGATTATGTTCCAACAATATGTAGAATGTGAACATTCATGTTAATAATGATGTTTCATAGTTATGTTTTTTAAAAAGTGATTCAGTGATCTTGTATTAAATACTGAATTCAAAGGAATATCATAATTTCTAAAAAGCCAATGAGTTGGTAAGCATTTATTAAACACCTACTATGTTCTAGGTACTGGGGTCACAAAGAAATGAAAAAAAAAAGAGAGAGCTAGACATATTTAGCGATATAAAAGGATTGGGAGAACTAATGTAAAGAAAAACTAAAGCAATGGGAAAGCAATTCAGCAAAACCTATAGTAAGTCTGAATTCAATATCTGTATAACTCTGTCTTTGGAAGAAGGGGAAAAAAAGGGTTTTTAAGACTAAAGGCAGGAACAAATGGATACAAGCAAGAAGAGCCAAAGACTGCAGCAGATGCATTTTGATAAGTTATTTCACCACAACGAAGATATGTAAACAGATAATCACATACATGCATGCACATGTTATATGTGCATATATTATAGAATTACATATATATTACGTATGCATACCCATATATATCCAATAACGTCTTTCATTTTTTCCTTTAATATCCTATTTTTTTTTGTTTCTCAAAACATATTTCTTATCAGGTTCTATAAAGTACCCTTTTTATAGTTTGGTATAGTATTAAAATTGTAAACTGAGTTTGGTAATACTGTCTTCAATAGTTTTAAAAAGCATCAGTATGCCATGTTGAAGGGGTCTGAAAGGTAGAGTTTGTAAATGATGTTTACAATGATGACTCTAAGTTATCAAGAGTCAACTTATATTCAGTATATTTTGTGTAAGAAGTCAGATATATACACTTTAAAATTATTTTCATGAGGAGCAGTTATAATTTTAAAAACTACTATAAAAATGAATCACTCTAAGAGTTCCATGTAAGTCAGTTTTACTATAGTTGTCAGCATTTATCAAAAAGAAAAAATCAACTTCTATTTATCTAACAAGCACTTCATTTTATCAACGAGGGTATGAAAAGTTTTGAGTTCACAAACAGTATTTAAACAAAAAAACTAACTTATTCTGCCTGAAAGGAAAGTGACCATGTATTTATAGGAAAATCTGAAGTGATGAAAGGAACTGATTACAACCAGTTTACCCTCTCATTTCCTCAGACCTATACTAAGGAAATTCTTTACTGTTCTGCACATGTGGTGAATTGATATTCTGTATAACTTAGTATTCACCTTCTCTACTCTCTATATTTCTTAGTATTATCTACCTTATTGTCCTTTCTTAGAACTCCTTGCTATACAGGATGTCCCTAAAGTCTTAGTCAAGTTCTACATAAGCTCAAAGAGGCACTAAGACTTTAGAGACACTTCATATAGTCAAAAATGAAGAGACTACAAATGTAGACTGTGTCCTATGATAATTTCAGCTTTTTTTTACTAGAATTTTTATTTAGGAAATAGAATAACAAATTACTTAAATAAAGAACATTTTATAAATGTTAATCGCATAAATCCCCAAAATGTGAAATTCAAACTCTGAAGAAACCAGTCATGGTGAACTAAGTCATGGACTAAGGTTAAACTCATAAATTACTTGAAAAGCTTTACAAAAGAAATCCTCTGAAGTACCAATTCCCCTTTGATTAGTTTTATGATTAAGTAAAAGTGAGGCATGGATTTCCACCTAATTCCAACATAATCACCAAACCACACACCCACATTAAAAAAAATATAAAAGATGTAAAAGAAAAATAATGAAAATAATAATGAGCTATACCTGTCTTGACTACATTATCATTTAAGTCCATAGAGTCAATATGCGTTCAATAGTCAAAGTCACATCTCACTTTCATTTAATAAAGAAAGCCTTTAAAGAATATATGGGATTTCAGGAGGTCTCTGAAGAAAAAACAAACAGCTTCATGGTAAGTACTAAGCAGGTTGTCCTAAACACAGAGAATGGAATCTATGAAAATTCAGTGTTAAAACAGTGAAGAACTGAAATGATTTGTCTGAAAGACTTAGAACTACATTTGTCAACTGATACAAAAATGTGTTTGGTTCTTTATTCTTAAATTGTCACTTTCTTAAGTAGTGTGGGACAGCCTGAGCAATAGCTCTGAAGCTATGAATTTAGATAATAGTTCACAGTTATCCAAAGCTTTAAAGTTTATAAAACATTTTACATATATTATCTTACTTGATTCCCAAAACAACCCTGGTAGATAGGCAGTATTACAGATAGATGAGACATGAAGTACTTTGAAGAGAGTAGGTAGATAATATTGTTTTTGAAGCAGCATGTGGGGAAAAAAAGGTTTAGTTGCTGTTTCAGATTGATGAGGCATTGTTTAAGTGAAGGTATAATGATTAATGAAAAAAGAAAACAATGTACCTTAATAAGTAAAATGCAGGCTGACATGCAGCTTATAAAGACTTCTCTATCCCATTTTTAAAGTCCTTTTTTTCTAATGTCCAAAAAAAAATCTTACAAAACTATTTCTCACCTGAGATATCTAATCTATTCTGATATTCTATTAATTAGTTGAAGAGTGAAAGAGTACAAACAGGATTAAGTAGGCAAACAGATGTCCTAGCTCTTGGTTAAAAAAAATTTTTTTAAAAAGTTCTTTCCCCAAAAAACAAGGAAAGGAGGCCAAAAAGCCAAATCTGACAATTCGATCACAGATAGAAGCATGTGTGCCAGCTCCAGTCACCAACTAGGTCTGACCTCCAAAATTATAGGTACCTAATAGATTATATATTTCCAATCTGTTCCTTTAAATACCAATGGCCCTTACTCTTGCTACCCTGTTTCAACTACCCTTTTCTTTGTTACTAACAGAAGGGAGCAACTGCTGCCAGCCTGTGAATTAGGAAATTTTATTTTTGAACATGTAATTTTTCCTCTGCATTTCTTTTTCTACTGTGAAATCTGGGTATCTTAATTAATAAATAATGTGAAATTATTGTTTGTTTTTTAAGCAGAGCATTTAAAACATGGACAAACTAAAAACCCTAAGGAAAATGTAGAACATTATCCTAATATTTGGGGAGTGATAAGACCTCTTAAAGTACATCTGATACAAATTTTATCTGCCTCCAAAGAACCTAACTTTACTTTTTATGTTATCCTCAGACCTTCACAGAAAAACAAACAAACAAACAAACAAACAAAAACAAAAAACTGGAAGTTTCTTTGGCAGAAAAAGATAAGTAGGGTGTAAAGTATACTGGGTCTTTAGTTAACCAGGAATAAGTGCCAGTAAGTTTCCCCACCCTTTTGGCAGATATCACTGCCAGTAAAGCTGCTGAATTTCTAAGACAAGCATCTTATTTGCCCATGGAGTACAAATGGAGTACAAAAATTTCATAGCTGTGTGCATAAAAGACTCTACTGCCAAATTTCTCCTAATGGTATTTTGGGGATTTGTGGTCAATGATGACATTGCTCTTTACTTTTACACAGAACTACTCTTGGTAGTCTCAAATTAATAAGAGAACACAATACATGTTTGCTAATACTCACAAAATGCCTCAAATCTCACTAGTGGTCTGTTATCTACAAATGACCTTAATCTCTCCATTTTAGGTACTCCTGCACTTAGCTGTCAAAGTGATCTTCCTAAAGGACAGGTCTAACCATGTCATCCTCTTTATTCAATACATTACAGTAGTTCTCTGTTACCTCCAGGATTAAATATAAGATCCTGCTTGGCTTTTAAAGCCCTTCAATAAGCTGGTCCTCTCCTACTTTCCAGTCTCCTCAGCATACACACTGCAATCCAGTAACATTGACCTTGCTGTCCCTCATGTTTAGAATTCTCTCTCTCCTCCTCTGTCTCCTCACTTTCTTGACTTTTCACATCTCAGCTAAAAATCTCACCTTCTTCAAGAAGTTTTTTCTGATTTCCCTTCATCCTAGGGCCTTTCTCTTGAGATTATCTCCAATTTATTGTGTATGTATGTGTGTGTGTATGCATGCGCGCGCATGTGTATTATTTGTATATATTTGTTTGCATGCTGTCTTCTCCATTAGATTGTGAACTCTTTGAAAGTTGGAATTGTTTTTGCCTTTCTTTGTAATCCCAGAACTTAGCACATGACCCATTGTAGGTGCTTAGTAATGACTGTTGTCTGACTTAAGAAATAAATGTTGTTAGTTCCAATTTTTGTTTCATCAATCATGAAAGCATTCTCACTGATACTTCACTTTCCTACCTCTTGGGATAGCACTATTTTTCATCTTAGCAGCCAAAGGAACTTTATGGAAGAACATTTATAGGCATCTGTAACCACACAAAAATTAAAAAGAATTCTATTCCCTAGCAAAAGTGGCACTAGAATTTTCACTTAGAGAAAAAGGCTAGATATAAAAAAACAACAAATTCCACAACGATAATACAGAAGAACATCTTGAAAGAATATAGTTTCTCTTTTAAAAAAAAAAAAGGTATTTAAATCTTAAATACCAACTTGTAAGAATAAAAGAGAGATGTCAAGCTCACTGCTCCCAGTGTTGCTCTATTCAGATTAAAATGTAATTGGAAATAGTTAACAAAATATATAAAACATAATATAACACAGAAAATATTAATTTGTGGTTTTCCAAAATAAATAAAAACCTACCTCAGTATACATCACAATGCACATTACTTTTTAAAATAAAACATCAAAATAGTTGGACAATTGTCTTCTACATAGATGCAAAATAACTCAGAATTCTTCAGTGTGGTAACCATTAACTTTTATTCCATGGCATGGTACCTGGCACACAGTGTGTATTTAATAAAGCTCATTCATTTATTCACTTAAAAAATCCTGCTGAAGCAACAATCATCAACAAGAGTTGGTACTGATTTAAAAATAGAGAAGTATGCGAGTGGAACAGAATAAGCAAGGAAGCATCAGAAATAATTAAACTCAATAACCCAGTGTTTGACAAACTCACAAACATAAATTACATAGGAAAGAATTCTCTTATAAACTACTGGAAAAACTGGGAAGCTATCTGACAGAAATCAGACTCAGGCCAATCAGCATCTTATACCACATTCCACAGTAAATTCAAAATGGATGCGACCTGAATATTTAAGATCATATAACCATAAAAAAGTTAGAAAAGAAACCGATCATATAGCTTTCACAGTTACGAGTAGGAGATGAATTCTTGACCAAATAATGGATACAGATAATTACAAAAGATAAAATGTTTAAGTTTGATTACATGAAACTGAAAAGCTTTTGCATACACAAAATTAACATATCAAGGATAAGAGAAGTAGTCAATTGGGGGAAAAAAAAATCTTTGTATCAACTAATTGGTAAGAATTTGATATCCAAAATATATAAGCAACAAGCTGAAATATCTAAGACCAAAAACCATTCCCCAATAGGTCAAAAGATATGAATAGTTCTCAAGAGAGCTATAAACTATTAACAAGACTATGAAAGAATGCTCCAAATCACTAACAAGAGAAATGCAAATTAAAACAACCTTGAGGTTTCACTTCACAACTAGTAAATTGGCAAATAACAAAAGACAGAACTCATCAGTGTTGGAGGTTTTGTGTAGAGACAGTCACAGTATCACACCGATATGCCATTCATTTTTGCAAATAAAGTAATTAAAATATTCATACCCTTTGACCCAGTATGAGGCATATACCCCAAGAAGTTCAATGACAAAAAGAAAGGCTCCATATATGCAGTTTTTGTAGTACTGAAGTATTGGGAATAAAGTAGATGTCTCATCAACTGAGGAATGGCAAAAACAATTGTGGTACATGAAGGTAACAAAATATTGCTATACGAAGTGATGCATACTATAAATACAGAGAAGCAAGAAAAGACTGATTATGGAATGAAGTAAAGTAAGCAGAACCAAGAAAACAATATACTGAGTGACTCCAACAATATCAAGAAGCATACACCAACAGAAATTAAATGTTGGGAAATTATCAACAAGAAGCTTGGTTCAAAAGATACGATAAGACATCTCTCCCCATTCTTCTGCAAAAATAGGAGTTCAAGTTCACAGGTATAAAACACTGACTACAAGGTCTGATTTTTTTCAGTGTATTGATTAGTTTTCTTGATTTTTTCTCTCTCCATCCATCCATCTTTCCTTCCTTCCTTTAGGAAGCAAGGTGGCACAGTGGATAGTGTGCTAACAACAGAGTCAGGAAGAACTGATTCAAATCCAGCCTCCGACACTTGACATGTGACCCTGGCAAATCACTTACCTGCTGTTTGCCTCAGTTTCATGGGGATGTAACATGGGGATAATAATAGCTACTTCCTAAGGTTGTTGTGTAGATAGTTTTTGTAAAGAACTCTACACATCTTAAAGCATTGTATAAATTTTGTATCTTTGTACACACACACTTATTTATATATATTTTATACACACACACACCCACACACATAAATATATAATATGTATACACACATACAGGTGAAAATGTAGGCTACCAAAACTATCAACAAAAATCTATTAAAAAATAAAAAACCCATGTGTGAGAAATTATTATTAATAACCAATATATTTGAGAGATTCAGAGCTGCTCCCCTTCTTCCAAAGTCCTGACTTTAAGTCCAGTTTTTGCAAGGAATTTAATTAATCTAGGGTGGGAAAGCCCATTATGTTCTACTCAGGCCTGGATGGGGTATACATTCTTTGAATTGATAGCCTAAAGCTATGGGTGGTCTGGTATAGAGATACTTTCCCTATCCAAGATATACTCAGTCCTTAATTTTAATATAGCCCACCTTCAATCATGTTAACCAGTTAGATTTGATTGCTGTTTGATGGACCACCTACTGTTTTGAAGGGTATATAAAAACTGAGTGGGCTGCTATGATTGTCTTTGGTCTAAGAGAGACAGCCAAATGACCATCCTTTTACTAATAACCTGCTGGCCTTATTAATAAAATGATTAAATTACCCAGAATCTATGTCCCTTGGACCTTTTTAAACATCACACACAAAAACACAGTAGTGTATTAAATTTATACATCCTTCTGAATCTGATTAAAATGCTAATATTAAGGTAATTAAATCCCATTGTTTGATATTTATACAACTCGCCCCCAAACCAATATTCTAGCTTATTATAAATTATTCCTCTTTCGAAACCCTTTAGTTCAATCTAACTGGGCTTCTTGCTGTTCTTCACTCATGACATATCATCTCTCCCATGTCTGAAAATTTGTACAGGCCGCCTCCCACGCCTGGTCAGCCTCTTTTTCAACAACTCTTAGAATCTCTCATTTCCTTCAAAGGCCAGTTCAAATACCACTTGCTTAGAAGCAGCTACTTCACCTCTGTTACTTTAAAATATATTTGGTTTATGCTTAAAATGTGTGCATATTATCTCTTCCTTTATAATGAAGGGCAGGGACTGCTTCATTTTTGTCTTAGTTTCTGCAGAACCTAGCTCAGTGGCTAACACACAGTAGGTGCTTAGTAAGTGTTTACTAATTGGAGTCCAACTCCCATCACTACTAGTTTTCAAATCTCTACTGGCAAAAGAAAAAACATATAAAATTACTAATCTCCTTAATTATCTATTTTTTGAAAACAGAAAATATAGAGGATGAATTTCAATCACAGTGACATACTAACACATGAAAAGATTAAAGAAAGTATAACTTAATAAACACTATTTAAATAAATGAGAAAACTACCGTGCAAAAACATACGTAGATATGCTTATTTTAATGTAAAAGAACATACCAGGCATTCTCTGGTTTTGTGGCTTTTGCAGATATAGAAGAAGTGGTCACGACTGTAGTTTCCACACTATTTATCCCTGGGTTGCTCTCCTTGGCAGCCATGGCAATCATTTTTCTTTGCTTTTGAGAAAGTTTAATCCCATGAGAAGTGGTTTTGCTACAAATTAAATCAAACGCCAGAAAAAAAAAAAAACATTATTTCTGATACTTAAGAGAAACCGAACAAGATCACTAGAATTCCAGTCTAGTTTGGCAAGATTTTACTCATGTAAAATTAAAATGCTGAAGATAAAGTGAAGATAAAAATATTCTAGAGGATTAAAAAAGTAACTATATAGGATCTCCATTACTAATTCTTCTATACCTTTAGATATGAAGGTGATTTGCTATTCACAATCACTGAATCTTTAGTATCTCTGATTAAACAAATCAAAATTCTGATTTTAAAGGAAAGGTATATGTTATAATAATCAGGATATAGACTAAAACCATCAACCCAACTCAGTCAAGACATCATACAAAAACAGCCATCAGGAAATCATTTTATGTATGCTGAATAATTTAGAATAAGTCATAGAATAAAGGTCAGAAAAAGGAAAAGACAAACTAGTTGATCTTCCTAACTTCGATTGATTCAAATAAAATTGATACAAATACATTAGAGTTCTCATTTTCTATACTATAAAGCATATAAAGGAAAATAACAGCCGAACTGTTAATGAATCAAATGACTAAATAAAGAAGGCTAATGATCACACAGTAACTAGATGTAGCCAATTACATTAATATTATGATCACATTAAAAAAAGAAAAAAACTACTTTGATTTTCTTAAAGAGACAGCATTGCAAAGTAGATAGAGTTCTGGGCTTGCACTCAGGAAAGTCTAGTTTCCAATCCTCCCTGACTACTGCTAACTATTATGAGGCCAAAAAAAGTCACTTGACCTCCATATGCTTCAACAAACCTTTGAGGCTTGTCCTTAAGCCACAGATCTGCCCCAATTAACAAGTTCCCACATCCTACATGGATAAAATAAGAGATCACACATAGGTTCATTGATTTAAAGTTAGGAGGAGTATGAAAAGCTATCTAATCCAGTCCTTCTTTTGTGCTTTTGCACAATAGCCATTAATCAATGATGTTAAAAATGTCATAATACCATGTTTCCTTAAGGAATGAAAAATTTCAAAAGTTCAAAATATCTCTAATTATAAAATATAAATGAAATTTATAAAAATGTATTTATCATTCTATAAATCTAAAGCACTGCCTTTCTGTGACATTTTCTTCTTTTATTTACATTGTTTCCTAACTGACCTTGAATTTGTCTTTGGTGTAGTTCCACATTTTTGCATATTTTCTTCAATTTCCATGATGGTTCTAAGATCCATGGCAGGAGGGCTAACCGGGCTGAATGACATAAAAAAGATTACCTTTCAAGACATTCATTTTCACTTACATTCCAGTTTCTAACCTTCACAGAAATTGTCTAAATCATATATAAGATCGGTAATCAGATGTATAATTTATGTCTACTTCCTCAATTATGGGAAACCTCAAATAGAATGTTTCAGATAAAACCTTTCTTTATATATGTAGATATAAATAACACAACAAAAATACTTTCAAAGTCATTATCATGTTAAATGACATAATTAAAATGTAACTTATTTTTTAAATAGCAGTTAAGGAAAGAAAAGATTGCTAAGTTTTCTTGGTCAAATGGCATGCCACACATGAATTCACATTAAATTTTTATTGGTTAAGATAAAAGAGGACCTTGAAGAGCATTTTCTTTCTTTTCCATTTTAAGTTTTAATAAGCAGAAATTATTTACATTAATGCAAAACACATAACAAGATAACATTAAGTAAAAATGGACCCTTAAATAAAGAAACTAGAATATTCTCTCAATGGTAGTCAAAATCTACTACAGAGAGTTGCTAGATAATAGAAAACTACTTGAATTACCTTTACAGATTCAGAATCTGGGAACTAACAGAAAATCCCCTATATATCTCTTGGCAAGCAATGTAACTTAACCACTATATTTTTGTTTTATTTGGCATTCCTTTTTGTTTAAAAAAAAAGTCATTGTTAGTATCAACTAATATTCCTATAAGGACTTAAGAATCATTCATAAGCTACAGATGTGTCAGAACAACATCATGGTATGGAAGAAAATGTCCTAGACTTAGAGAAGAATTGGGTTCAAATCTCTGAAGAACTGAATCAAACCTCTAACTATAGCATACTGGAAAAGCCATTTAACCTCTTTGAGTCTGCTTCCAAATCTGCAAAATGGGGATGACACTTATACTGCCTAGCGTACAAAGTTGGAAGGAACATATTTTGTAAACTTTCAAATGTTTTATAAATGTAAGGAAGAATGATTACTGTTCCTCTTTAGAAAAACATCTACATTTAATTCCAAGAAATATTTATTTCAGAGATAAGAAATACTGCTATCTCTGACAAAATAGATTTTAAGGCATTTGGTCTTGAAATCCTTGAAACACAAAGAACTACTGACTTCAAGACAAACTACTATAAGGATTTTCTTAAATTCTGGCATTTAGAATGAGAATAGGTTTCCAAATCTTGTCTATATATTATACATTCCCCTATTAGTTTCTCAAAACCATGAAAAATTTTAAGAGTTAATTGACAGCCTACTTTTAGTGCTCATGCCAAAGCTCCTTTATTCTGTCACTCTGTTCTTTGTTCCAACAAGCAAATGTGGCTGAAATTTCAATTCTTTTACAAGGATGCCACAGAAAAAATATGCAATCAGCTTCTCAAAAGCTTCAAGAATTTGGTGAATAGGTGTATGCAGGGCTTTAAAAATACTACAAAATCTCTTGGAGAGCCATTTGGTTCCCAAATCTCTAATTCCAAAATGAAAATGAAATAACTAATATACAAATGCATATGGTGATATCAAATTCCAATCTATTTAAATAAATCATTTATTAAGGTGACAATCTTTTATTAATTTTGTGAAATTTCAAAATAGATAATGGATTTCTGTATTATCCCCCATTTTTAAAGATGTAGGTTTTTAACTGATAATATGTTATTTGTTAAATACAGTATGTTTCAAGAAAATAAGCAATATTCATATGCCATATATCATATATTATAATAAATATATGATATTCTAGAGCAAGAATCCTTAACCTAGGGTCTGTGAATTTAATAATTTAATAACTATGTTCTAATATAATTGGTTCCCTTTACAAAATTCTTTGTTATAACAGTTTCTCTCAGGGAGGAAAAATTTCTCAGGGAAAATTCAAAGCGATGTAAAAATAAAAGATCAATAAAGTGATACATGTCTTTATGTGTACTTATTTGTATAGATCTATTTCTCTATATATCATGGGTAAGGTATTAAAACTGTAAGTGGAGATAGGACTGACAGTAATCAACTCAGAATTAATAACACAAAATCTAATAATGCACCAAGTGGCTTAAGGCACGCTGTTAAGACTGGTCCTCCATGTCCTCTCTAAAACTTCCTTCCTTAGGAGGAACTGTGGCTACATTCTAAAGGTTGATGACAGATTATCTGGGAAACAGAACAGCACAGAGAAGGGAAGAATAAAAGGAAAACGATTAAGAAGAATTTTAAGTACTGCCAACAGATAAATGGCAACAGTAGCTAGACGTGAATTCAGAGATGAAGAGTACCTACATGAAGTTAAGTTTTGTCCAGGTGTAAGGGCTAGGAAGACTCAAGTTAATAAGTGCATAAAGGGGGCAAAAAATAATCATAAAGTAGGACATTCAGGACTAATAACTGAATGACAACAAGAATCACAGGAATGGGAGAATAGAAAACAGCTTAAAATGATGTATACATCATTAGGCAACCGTCTAAACTTTAAAACTATTAAGACGCAGTGTAGGTGCCAATCAGGAACACCCTACATCCTTACATAGTGAAATCATAGATTTAATATATGTGTATGTCATAAATAGACTATGTGTAATATACATATATGAAGGTATGTATACACACTTGTACATATGTATGTACCTGTGTGTGCATGTACGTATATAAAATATATTTGGATGCTAAGTAGGAATCACTGGCTAGTATTACGGGGTGTCAATAAATACCTAAGGATGCTTACTGCTTTTACTCTGTGGTTGGCCCTCTATGGTACACAGTAAATCCATAACGTGGGGAAAAAAAGTCTCACAGGTAAAAATACAAACCTATTAAAGAGATTTACAGCAAATCAGGAAATAAAACAATCAGAAACTGACTATTCTGGAAAATTTCCCATTAAGTTGTATGTGCCAAATTAACAAACACATCAAAAGCATCCCACCTGAAAGAGCTGGCAACCCAATTAGAAGAGCTTGCACAGTTGATTCGATTACTGGGAATGGACTGTGGAACAGACATTTTCAATGCTGGTGATTCTTCATATGGTTTTATATATTCACTAGGATGCATAGGGTATGCACCATTAACATATGTTTTAATTTTCATCACCTAAAATTTAAAAAAAAATGAAACAGTAAAATCTCTAAAAACAGTTCATTATATCTTCTAGAATATCTAGGTGATTTAACCTACTCAAGACTTTCAACTATATCAAACCTAATTAGCACACTGTTCTACATTATTCAACATCATTAGGTAAATAAGTATGCTTGCATGTAAAACTCCTTGTAAGCATTAAATATAAAACTAATTATTAAGATAAACTGTGGAGGCATAAAACTAAATATTGATGATTTTAGCATTAGGAGAAGACAAACTGCTATGTGTAAATTTGCTAACAATATTTACTTGTTAAGAATTTAGAATCTCCAGTATTATATAACACTAATACTCCAACACAAATCTTACATGACTTTATGTCAAGTTGGCTATGACTTTGAAGGGATTTTCATTTACATGACAGCTTCCTAATGCTCTCAATTGCCTTCTAAATCTCAGAAGTATGCCAACCACTATAGATCCCAGAAATGAATCAGGGGGACAGATACATCCAGAGCTACACCAAGGGTTCTTTTTTGTGCCCAGTCTGTTTGTGTTGAATTTTGCTTCTATTTTCCTTACTTTTGCTACAAATATGCCACTTGGAAAAATTTCCAAATTTGCCTAATTTTTCTCCAAGTAAAATGTTAATTAGCTGAGTTACAGATTATTTTTTTTCCCCAAAATAGCCAAGGAAATTGTTAGTTACTCAATGCAAGAATTAAAATCAATGTTTTATTCTGAAATATGGAGTGAATTTTATAAAGATCACAAATCCTAAAAACAGTAATCACTGAAAAAATGTAAAAGTAGTAATAGTATACAAGTATAAGGAAAATACCATACATATAAAAACATATAAACCATTCTTGCTATCAGTTGCAACTTCATTTATGACAGCTAAGAGTTGGCTTTAAAGGTATTAGCATAATGGGATAGCCAAGACAGCTAAATTATATATCCACAGATATTCTGGGGCAAACATGAATACAAAACAGAACAAAAAACCAAATCTGTAGCCAATTAAAAAACAAACCTCAATCTTATCTGGATGAATTCCTGTTGTGAAATCAGGAGACTGCAAGTCTCTAGGACTACCTATTCCAGCGTAACTACCTTCAGAGTCTGAGGTCAGTAGTTCTGGAAGAGATTCTGTAGAGTTGGTTTTATCCAATTTTACCAAGCCTACGGTTTAAAATTTAAAAATACATTTTTAAAAAGGTAAAAATGCATAAAGTTATATTATGTATAAAGTATTTAGATGTGAAGTTCTATTTGATCACAATTAATAATTTTAACCAAATTCATTATAATAAAATTCATATGCTTTCTTGAATTTCAGCCAATACATGAAATTTAGATCACAGGATTTGAAATGTTTTATTTTGGAACCATGAGAAACACCAACCAGTTACTATTTCCCTTAGAAACATGTTATTTTTTCCAGCTTCCTTGCTAGTTCAAAACAAAAGTTATGACAATATTCAGGGAGGTTTATCATTTGGTTGACCATATGGCAATGAGTTTTAAGGGCACAGTCACTCTTGAAAACTATCCACTACATCACCGAGGGGTTGTAGAGTTAGGAGAAGGAATGCTTACAACTACAAAATCACAGATGCTTAAAGTACTGAAGAAGTAAAATTTAATATTATTGCACTAAATAATGTACTCATTATTACATTGACAGAGAATAATGAATCTTCTATCTATTATAGCTTAAGACTCACCCATGGCAACCTTGAAAGCATCACTGCTACAATTGGAACCATGTTGCAACATCTCTGCTCCTGTACATCCAAAAAGCACATAATAAAGGTAATATCATTTTTAAATCTACTGAATTTTTAAAATAATTTTTTCAATAGTTTTGAAAGCTGCTCTACTATCATTTTTGTTCTCCAGAGTGGTACTATGTGTTATATATCAAGAACATATCTTACTCCACAATAATGATAAGACAATTTAAAAGGAATGTGACAAAAAAGGCTTACTACTCACCTGTGGAAGGTGAGTTCTGAATAATATCTGAAAGGTTATAACCCCCAGAGCTGTCTGAACGCTTTCGTGGCTTCTTTTTTGCTTTTGTTTTGGCCTTTTTGAAGAAAGCTTCTCTAAGAAAAAACAAGCATCAAATGTCTTTAAATTTAAAAGAAAACCTAAATCAGAGAAATCTAGAGTAAGTACGATAGTTACGATCCTACAGTTTTACAAAGGTAATGTATTTAATCCTGCTGTAGAATTCAGGCAAATGTGAAATAAACAGAAGGACCAAAGTTCTAGTCCTAACGGGCTATGTGATTCTGGGCTAATTACTTTGTGTCACAGTTACTCTATTTGCAAAATGAGGATAATAATTACCACATAAAACCCCAGACTTATTTGTATGAAACTGAGAAAATGCATGCAAAAATATTTTGCAAAGTTAAAAATACAAAACAGATGCAAGACGTTTTCCTCTTTTGTATACAGAGTTAAATACTGCTAATTTAGAATCACTGTATCATGCATACAACTAAATTGGAGCACATAGTATTTTATGTCATTAGTCTCTCAATGCAAGATTAGAGAGTAATGCTATCTCTGGTCCAATCCTAATAAAAAAGGGAAAAGATATTGATAGGCAATGCAACTAAGTGAGCCATATCTATTTTCTATCATTTGTTACAAAATGACATGACATGAAAAGGTAAAATAAAACTGGTTAAAAAACATAGAAAAACATGAAAAGACATACGAACTGATGCAAAATGAAGCAAAACCAGAGGGGAAAAACATACACAGTGACTACAAAAAAGTAAATAGAAAGAAAAATCAAGGCAACTGCAGGAAGGTTGGGAAGAACCAATAAATCTGAACAAATATACACACTACAAATTTGTGCTGGAAAGAATACAAAGAAGGGAAAATTCTAAAAGAATGGACAAAATCAAAGACAATATTTTCACCACCCAAAAAAGATGCTTGATAAAACATCAGTAGCTATTTTTCTATATATCTAGTTTGTAAGATTCAAAGGTCTTTATGAGAATGATCACTGCACAAATTGAAAATGTACTAGAAAATGAGAAGTAAAAAAAAAAACAGGCTTCTACAAATTATTCTCTGAGACTGTATGTTTACATTAACACAAACTAAGAAATACAGAGAATAGAAAATACTACTGTGCTAGTTTATTAAATCTTGATTTTTAAAAATCGATTCTGGTTGTCAAATATGAAGTGAAGCATAAAATAGAGAGCCACGTGTACAATTAATCAATCAGTTAATCAACAAGTCTTTATTAAGCACAAACTACATGTCAGGCCCAGTGCTAAGCCCCAGAGACACAAAAGTAAGCAAAAATGCAGAAACAGTTGTACCCTCAAAGAGCTCATACACTAATGGGAGAGACAACCTGTAAACAAACAGGTGTGTATATAATAGATCTGGAGTAGAACAAAGATAACACATCAAAGGAACCACATTTCAAGGAGGAAAAAAAAAGCAAAAATAATGACACTTACTGGCGTTCCATATTCATTTCTCCTTTCAAAAAAACATCAGCATCTTCTGCCTCCAAATAGCTGATATCTGGACCATCTTGATATGGTGTTATTACCCTTCTATCCATTGCTGGTATCTGTAGCATAACAGAGATGTTACACAATTCTTTTAAGAAAATCGCTACCTTTTTCTATATATAGAGATAGATCTTTAACTCTTATCAAATTACATTTATTACAAAATATACTGAAATTAACAGGAAAATTCTGGGATGCCACAAACAGGTGGTCCATGTTTCAAGCAAAAGGGAAAAATTATAATCAAAATACCAGTCAAATATAAATTATAATTAAAACACTAGTCAAATATTAATTTATAGGCCTAACATTCTATAAGACAGAAGAATGAAACTTCAAACTTTCCTGACATACCTATTTTCTAGTCCAGGTAAAATAATGTTTTTACCTAATTCTTAGGGGTTAGCTGAACCTTAATTTCTTCATTTTCTTGTAATAACAAAGGATTATCTTTGAAACTATTAACTTCCGCTCACTTAAAAATCAGAGTGTAATTCATTTTTTCCTTTAATGTTATATCTTCACCATTTTTTTATATATGTTCTGATGAAGGTCTAGTAGGGGAGGAGTACTGTCAGTGAAAAACCTTTCACTTCTTCATATAAAAGCGTCCTAAGTATGGGAATTATTTAGAAAAAATTAGAACACTCACTAATAGATTGTTTTAGTTTTTTGTTTTTAGTTTTTTATATTTTTGCTCATCTTTACTACAATATAAACCTTACCATTTTTCTGTAGAACACAGAAAGATCCTTCAAAACATCATCACTTAAAACATCCAGTGTCCTATAAAATAAGATGGACAAGTTATCTTAAGACTCATTTAATATGACATCCCTCTGGCCATGCAAAAAAAAAAAAAATCTAAAGAATTTGTTATTTTTATGTAGGCAATGATCCTGAATCAAAAATAAAACAGCTCATCCTGCAGAACTGAAAAGTACTCTATCTGTTGTAATTAAATGTCAAGTAAAAACTATAAAGTTACAGATTTATGTACTGATAACTTATTATCATTTAAAGAATTCCATCCCCATCTAGGTAAAACTCAATGACAGTGAAGTATTAAAGAAATAGAGGCTAAGCATATATGATCACATATGAGCAAACTAAGAACAAAAATTCTGACAGGTCTTTTTTTTTTTCCTGAGGCCATCTTACACAAGTACAGTTATAGTGCCTCCCAGTCTCCACCTCCCTGCTGAGGGAGGTTGTGTAAATTGGAACCAATATTTCTGAGGATTCAGTTTGCCTGTAGTCATGAATTCATGCAAAGTTTAATTCGAAAAAAAAAAGTATAAGGATCAATTTAAAGATAATTACCACAAAAAGAAAACATTAATAATTATTCTATATTTTAAAATGCAATGCAGAAAAATGCTATCCAATATGGTAATGATCATAAAATGTAAATGCCTAAACAAGCAAAGCACACGTTTATATGTGTAAATGTGTACTCGCACGTGCACACACAAACACACACACACACACATTTATTAAACTCTATGGGAGGATATTTACATCAAAACAAGACACCATAGACAACAACTGATGTCATGTAAAAAAAGGTTGGCTCTAGAGTAATAAGTGATGGATAAAGACACTGAGTGATTACCAACTACACAAATTTAGGAAAATCACTTAATTTCTCTGAATTCTGTCATTTATAAAACTAGGGGAAAATTGGCATAGTAGACAGAAGCCAGCCTGGGGTCAGCAAAGATCTGGGATGAAGTCTTGCTTTTTTTAAAAATAAGGCTATTTGACACCAAGCAAGGAACTTAATGTTTCCCCTCCCTCTTCAGGACTTTCCTATTACTTTTAAGGAAAGGCACCATCACTCCTGATTACCTAAACTGGAAATTTCAGTGTCATTCTCAATTCCTGACTTAAATTCAACCCATGTAGCCAATCTATTACCAGATCTCATCATTTTTCTCTTCATAACATTTCTTGGATGTGTCTCCTTCTCTCCTCCAACATAGCGACTTACCCTTGTGCAAGCCTCATCAACTTATGCCTGGACTACTGCAATTGTCTTCCGGTTGCTCTCCCTTCATTAAGTCTCTTCCCACATCTAATCCATTCTCCACTCAAATGTCAAAGTGATTTCCCTAAAGCCCAAGTCTTATCATGTCAAATATTCCCCCCATTGTGTCCCCATTCATTGAACTCCAATGGCTCCACATTACCTCCAAGATCAAATATAAAGTCCTCTGTTTCATTTTTAAAATCCTTTATAAACAGGACTCTTCCTACCTTTCTAGTCTTATACTTCTCTCCACATATTTAACAATCCTTCCATACTGGCCTTCTTACTGTTCCTCTCACACAAGACTCCATTCTCCTAACTCCATGCCTTTGCTCTTTATACACTAGGCCTAGAATATTTTCCCTTTTAACCTCTACTCCTGATTTCCCTGAAGACTCAATTCAAATTCCACCTTCTACATGAATCCCCCTTTTTCCTAGTCACTACTTTGTTTCCACCCCCTCAACATACACATACTGTTAGGGTCTTCCATCTGAGATCGGGTTTCTTTTACATTGGATATATCTCATATGCATGGGTTTTGAATCCTGTCTACCCCACTGCACTTTGACAGGCAGAGACTTGAGTTGGTGTTTTTTCTTGTAATCCTCAGCTTTTAACACAATCCCTGGCACATAGTAAGCTCTTAATAAATGCTTGTTGACTGTTGATTTTCTCAGTCATCTCTCTAAGAATATATATTGCAGATGATTTTTCTAATCTGTACTGGTAGAAGTTTCTATGCAACAAATTCCCTATGCTAATGAAATCACAGATATAGACTAAAAAAAAAGGCTAAATGCTACTTATTCTATGAACTTTACTATGAACAGGTGGTTATGAGGCTCTAGTATGATAAATTATATAAAAAGGCTTTCTATAGCACCTTAAACATCAGTTATTATTGTTACTTTTAACTCCCAAATTAACTAGACCCTGAGATCAATTACATTTAAAATTATTCTACTAACATTTTTACCATTATATACAAATATCTATGTAACAAGTTACAGAATTAATTTACCTAACCTACCTTGCTTCAAGTAAAGCTGCCATATTTAGCCCCATAAACTGTAAACAAGACAGTTTCAATTGTTCAGCATTATACATTACTGCAAACTCCAATGTCATAGCAGCATTCTTTAGAGTAACTGCAAAAGAAGACAGTTATTAAAATTAGATAAATTGTTATTTCAGGGAACAAAATGTACTTAATTCCAAGGATTTCAGAATTTCTGAGCTCAGAACAATAATAAAAACTAGGATCAAGCTTGCTCTCAAAGATAACAAATATAGAGACAGATATACAATATGGTTTTTACCCAACTTTGCCACACATTCAAGAGACATACAAACTGAAATGTTTAAAGGGAAAATAAATAAATAAGAAAAACAATCACATAGAATATTAACAAGTCATTTTAAGAGTAGTACAGAAAATTTTTTGAAAATCTTTTGCCTACTGAATATATCAGAATAATTTTAAGTTTGGGAAGTTTTAATTTTAGCATAAATATTAATAGTATGTTGCTCTTAATGACTAATGTAACAATTTAGTTTCCTAAAATCCTCCCCAAAAATTGAAGGAATAATTTTGCATTTAGAGTTATGGAGTTTTTTTTGGAACAGTTCTAAATTATTTGATTTTACATGATCACATAAAAATGACTGTTTCACACTAATAGTCTCTATTATTACTTACAGAAAAAATGAATATTAAAACAAAAGCTTTCCTCTCTAGAATTATAGTCAATGAATGGGCATGGGGTCTCAATAGAGCAAAAGCTCCTATGGAGTATGATGATCTTGGAAATTTTTAAACATTCACAATCTAGTTCTAACAATTTTTAATACAGTTTGAAGCTAAATTACGGTTCTTAAAAGGCACCGTATGCAACTGCCTCTCTTCAAAGGCCTCTCCAACCAGACAAAGGAGCTTGAAAAGGGCATAGTCGCAGCGAGGACAGTTTGCTGGCCAGTTGGATGTGGCTGTAGAGCCTGTTTTCCAAAGGATGGTTCTCCAATCCTTCCCCAAGAGACAACTTACCCCTCGTTGAATGAAGTGAATGCAGACTTAAAAGTTAACTTATACACTATACACAAGTTGAGAGAATTATCTGTTTCTACTACTTGGTCTCATTCTCACCAACCCATTTCACTCAGTCATCTTACAATTGGTTCTTCTGTTGTTGTTCTACACACACACACACACACACACACACACACACACACACACACACAGAGTCATTTTTCAGGCAGGAGGAGTAATAGTATTTTACAATGAAAACATCATGCTTAACTGTATGAAACAGTTTCATATGGAATAGTAAGTTAAAACAGGAAGCAACTGCTTACATATTCGTTAACTGTCTTTTTAGCTCATTTTAATAAGAAACAAAAGTCTTCTGCTGCATGATGTTCATGATAGAAAAACACTACATTAGACATCTGATGACTTTTTTGCATGGTATGTACATATTAGGATAAACTTTATTTTTGACATTGCTGTACATTTCATTCATAAACTTAAAACTACATATAAATACATTATTTGATTTTTGTCCCAGAAAAGAATTTTTTTGTTACCAGCTGTTTTCCCTAAGGGTTTTGTCATGATGTCACTGATTTTATGGTCACACCAACTTAACAGAATTTGAAAAATGTTACTAGGGTATTTTGACCTGAGTTTTTTAATAAGCATGACTAGAACTATCCTAATAGCCAACTCTATATGGCAGTACAGTATGTGTGTAAAATTTACATATCATATGTATACATACACAAAAACACACATGCATAAACACAAAAATACACACTGAAATTCAATCACAGGTTCATTCTAAATTTACAATTGGAAGGTCCCTTAGAGGTAATCTAGTTGAATTCCCTCATTTACTGGAGGAGGAGACTGAGGTCTCAGCACATAGTAGGCATTTAATAAAAGCTTATAGATTGTTATTTGCCCAAGTTCATAGAAGTGTCACCCATGTGCCTGGAAACAAGTCAAGAGGCTAAGCAAAATGTAGTAGTTGTTCTCATAACTACCAGTAGAGAAAGTCAGCATTTGGTAAATTCTGAACAGGCCAATGTTTCCCTCAAATCCAGACTATTGCAGAGACAGGTTTCAGCTGTCCAAAATCTTTGCATCAAATATTTGATAAAGTTCTGATATTCAAGTTATATAGTGAATTAGCATAAAAAAGGCAAGGTGCCACTCCCCAATTGTTAACTGGTCAAAGGATATGAATAAAGATCTCAAAAAAATTGGAAACTAACAACCAGATAAAACATTGTTTCAAATCATTAATAGAACTACAAATTAAAACAACTCTAAAGTTTCAACTCAACCATTAAATTAAGATAAAAAAAAACAAAAAAAAAATAGTTAATGCTGCGTAGCATGGAAGTTTTGTGAAATACTGTTGGCATACCGTGAGTTGTTCCAACTATTTTAGAAAACTATTTTAAATTAAGCAAAATAAGGAAATCTGAGAGTATATAGCAAAACAAAAGTAAGTTGCATCTGTGTCTTAGAATATAAACTCCTAGAGGGCAGGGACTATGTATATATACTACATATGCAATAACTACTTAAATGCTTTCTGAATGTGAAATTCTGGCTAAATGACTTTAATTATAAATGCATATTATGAACATTTTATTCAAATAATATGTAATATATTAATTTAAATCCAATGGTATATATCAATCCAATCTTTAGTGCCAATTTTAAGTGAAAAAAAAAATGAAGAATTCAAGTTATCCCTAAGTGTGTGTGTATTCATTACATGCTCATGTATACTCCTATAAGTTTAAGGACTTACTAGAATGTGCAGACATGACTATAAAGCATTTCTACAAGACACATTAGAAAACTCTTCTGATTATTTTCTAAACACATCAGGTAAAAATTAGTTTATAATTACATGCTAGTTTCAGAAAATAGCTCAAGATAAAGCAAAAATTCAAGCAAAATAAAATATTTATACCCTTTGGACATATACCCCATGGAAAGCAAAGACAGAAAGTTCTTATAAATGCCAAAATATTCATAGCAGCACTTTTTGTGATAACAAATAACTATAAATAAAAAAATGTGGGAATACAGATTAGGAAATGGCTAAACAAATGGTGGCACACTGATGTAAACTAAACATTTAATGGCTACAACGTGAATGGAAAGAACAAAACTGGACAAGAGTGGTCCCAATTAAGAGTTGAGGAAATGTACCTTACTCCTTTTGTTCATGATGGAAGACTATGAGGAAGCAATGTTGAATATGCTATCAGATACTATGTATAGTCGATTTCATTTTATGAATAGGTTTTATTTATTTTTCTTTAATCTGTTTTAAGGAAAGGTTCACAAGGTAGGGGACATGGAAGGATGGGTCTATTGGACTGATTTAAAAGCAAAAGGGAATAAAACAAACAACAAAAAAATGAAATTTATGCCATGGCTTCAGACAAATCATTAAAAAAAGATAACATAGAAGATATGACTAGGCTTAGTGGTTACCAGCTAAAATATAGGCTCATTGGCATAGAGTGGTTCTAATGTATTAGCTTTCAAACATGTCAATGGGCATTGTTTAGAAAAGCATAGCAAGAAAGGTTTGTTTAACATGGGAAAACATAAAACTGACTTGAAAAAGAAATCAGCTTTGATGTTAGCCAGAGAAATTATAATTAATATAGTCAGCCTATATAAAAAATTATAAAGACTTTAGAATGACTTGAGACTCCACAAAAAGGGAATAAAGTTAAAGCAGCCCACTTTAGTGTACTGAAAATGGTTTGTTATTGTTGTTGTTGTTGTTCAGTTGTGTTCAACTCTTGGTGATCCCATGGACCATACTGCCTGTTGAGGTTTTCTTGGCAAAGATACTGGAGTGGTTTGCCATTTCCTTTTCCAGTGGATTAAAGCAAAAAAGAGGCTAAGTAACTTGCCCAGGGTCACACAGATAGTAAATTTCTGAGGTCAGATTTGAATTCAAGTCTTCCTGACTCCAGGCCCAGCATCCTATCCACTGAGCCACCTAGCTGCCTCCGTAAAAATGTGACCAAGGTTAAAAGCTTATGTGATAATGGGCAGATCACTTAATCAACAAATGGGGATATTTATACTGCACACCTGACAGGACTTGCTATGAGGTTTGCATTTTGCAAATCTTAAAGATTCATGTAAAATGTGAATTATCATTATCTCATTTTTTAAAAAACCAGACCTATGATTTCACTGATAAAAGGAATTTACAGTGAGGAAACTCCTTCTACCAAACAATGCAGATAGGCACTTGCTCTGCTACTTATAATATCAGAATTTCCTGGTGAGAGTTGCACTAAGGGATAAAGTGGTTTGTCCAGGGCAAAAAGTCAGTATTTGTTAAATACAGAATTCAAACCCAGGTTTTCTGACTCCAAAGCCAGCTTTCTCATCCACATGCTGCTTCTGTAGCAAGGATTATCTCCCCACAAGTTAAAAATAGCTTGAACCAACTTGAAAACTTATCAACAGTACCACATAGGAAAAATACTCACGTTTTTCTGTTATTGCTACTTCACAGATTTCTTTCAATCGAATTATTAGTAGTTGATCGGCCACCACAAGAACATTACAAACAAATTCCACACTTTGACAGTCTAAATATTAAAGGAAAAAATTTTGATCATGTTATTAAAATAACATTTTAAGCTATCTAGAAAGGAAGAAAACAAACCAAAAGACTAAATATTAAGTCACCAAACACAGAAAACTAGTATATGGTATTCTATCTGAGAAAAAAACATTCTAAAGATTGTTGTGGCATATAAGACAATAATGACACTGTTTGTTTATAAGTTTTAAAGGGACATCTTATTCTGGGTTGATTAACATTTTAATGACTGGTGCAAGTATACTAAAATACCTTGGCATATAAAAATAATGCCCAAAGAAATCTAATTCTAGCTATAGTCCTGCTACTGAGATGCTGAATTAGTTTCCCATAAGTCCAAACTAGATATCTCTCATACAAGTAAACACAGTAAGGTCTATACAGGCACAAAGCTGTTCAAAACAGCTTTACTATTCCAGGACCACAGGAGACATTCTAGCATACAATTCCTACATTGCACTCTTTATTTTCTGATGAAGGAAACATACTTGTGCCACTCATGTATACAATGCTCTTTATGCATTCTTCCATTTGAATATGGTTGTCTATAACATTTTCTGAATCAATCTTCATCTACCATGGATGGTAGCAATCAATAACAAACAATGAAAAACATTTAATATCTAAGAATCATCTTTGGGACACATCACATAAACATTTTACAGCAGACTTTCTTGTTCAAAATTTGCTTAAGTTAAAAATCAACATCAGTCCATATTTTCTGAGTACGTAACAGGTAGGGGGTGGTGGGAGGAGAGAAAGGAAGTCTGAGAATATTTAGCATAACAAAAGTAAGTTAGATTGAGACTAAAAATTTACTGAGGCTAATATATTCTGTATCTTGGAATATAAACTCCTACAGAGCAATGACTATGTATATATACTCCATATGCACTTAACTACTTAAATGCTTTCTGAATGTGAAATTCTGGCTAAATGACAAATTATAAATGTGTATTATGAGCATTATATTTAAATAATAAATATTTTCATTTAAATCCAATTGTACATAATGTCTAATGTCATGCCATTCTTTAGCACCAATTTCAAATTAAAAATATATTGAAGAATTTAAGTTACCTTACCCTGAGAGTTTGGGTGTATGTATGTGTTCATACATGCTCATGTATACTACTGTAAGTTTAGGGATTTACTAGAATGTAGAGACATGACTATAAACTAACAAGATCCCACTTCTACAACATGCACTAGAACACTCTTCTGATTATTTCCTAAACACATCAAATAAAAATTAGTTTATAATAATTCTGTTTTCAGGAAATAGCTCAGCTATAAATATTATTTGCTATACCTATATGCTTAAATTGATGCCAAAAAAAAACAAACCTAAAGTTTCCTTAAAGAGTGCTTCTGTGCAATGGCTACTCACAATCTTTTATCAAAAGCAGAGAAAAATGTTATTCACACTACTTTGGAGAGCAATTTGGAACTATGCCCAAAGGGCTATAAAAATGTGCATACCCTTTGACCCAGTAATAGCACTCCCAGGGCTGTTTCCCAAAGAGATCATACAAATGGGAAAAGGACCCACATATACAAAAATTTTTATAGCAGCTCTTTCTGTGGTGGCAAGGAATTGGAAATTGAGGGGATGCCATCAATTGGGGAATGGCTTGAACAAGTTGTGGTATATAAATGTAATGGAATATTATTGTGCTATAAGAAATGATGAACAGGTAGACTTCAGAAAAACCTGGAAAGACTTGTATGGTCTTATGCTGAGTGAAGTGAGCAGAATCAGGAGAACATTGTACACAGTAACAGCCACATTGTGCAAGGACTAACTTTGATAGACTTAGCCCTTCTCAACAATACAAGGATCTAAGAAAAATCCAAAGGTCTCACGATGGAAAATGCTATCCACATCCAAAGAAAGAACTATGGAGTTTGAATGCAGATTGAAGTATACTATTTGCTATTTTTTTCCTTCTGTTTTGTTTTGTTTCCTCTTTCTGGTGGTTCCTCCTATTGGTTCTAATTCTTCCTTACAACATCCCTAATATGAAAATATGTTTAATAGGAATGTATATGTATAGCCTATATCAGATTGCACGCCATCTTGGAGGGGGGAAGGAGGTAGAGAAACATTTAAAACTCAAAACCTTATGGAAGTAATTGTTGATAAATCAAAATAAATAAAAACAAAGAAAAAATGTTATTCACACCAAGAAAGTTATTAATTAAAACCTAGGTACAAGATGACTTGATCAAGTTATTGGTTTTAAATGAAATAATCACTAAGGATTAGAATTGGCATTATAAGTTTATAAGTTAATATATCTGCTTAGCAAGAGGGAAAATGAAACTCATAAAATTCCACTGCAGAATTAACTTCAGCAATCAGACCAGCACATGTAAAATTCATTACTGTAGAATTTCATGAATTGACTAAAATTGTACCACAATTCTGTCTCAGGCAAGTCTTTCTATTGTAATCTAGTTATTCAACAACTATAACTCAACTACTTCTACTAAGACAGTGAATACTGTATACAATCCTCTCTCTACCCTTCAACAATTCAAAACAACAAACATTTCATAAGTGCCTACTACGTGTGAGGCACTGAGGGTACAAAGACAAAAATGAAACAGTCACTGCCTCTACTAGGCAACTCTTACAGTGAAGATGTATTGACAAGGAGTTTCCTCAGCCAGGAATTTCAGCCTGTGCTAGAACTCATTATTGTAGAGGTGAAAATAATAACAATAATGTGAACAATAACAGTAACAACTGTTATTATTATTATTTAGCACTTTACAGTTTTCAAAGTCCTTTACAGATACTACTGCATTTAAGTCTTTCATTTCTCTCTGCTTCATCAATGCTAGCCCTATTTCCTAGCTCAATTCCTAGGGACTCAACCTGTTTCAATTACCTATTCAAATCCTTACCAGAGCCACTTCTAATAAAACAAATGTCCTTTTGCTAATACCATAATTCTATACTATGTTCCCAAGATAAACATAACACAAACTGGTTCCACATACATATACCTAGAATTAAAAATTTTGAGCTGCAAGGGACCCCAGAAGTCATCTAGTCCAAAACTCTCTCATTTTACAAATGAGGAAAATGGGCTCAGAGAAATTTTTCAACGGTTTTAATTGGAAGAGGACCTCAGCCCATGTTCATTCTGCGGTTATTTCTACTGTATCAAACCTTCTTTTCACAATACTGCCAAGAATTTCAAGATAGGATAATGATTCTATAGATTTTTTTGTATTGTCTACAACTCAAAAAGGCATATTCAATTATTTCAAAGTATGGAAGCTTGATTGTTTCCTAGATTCCTACACTTAAAAGAATTCAATGCTGTTAGGGCCAAAATATTCAATGTATATATACATGGCAATGAAGAAGAAGTGGAGGCACTAGGTTTTTAAAACAGCACCCCTCTGACATAACTCAAATTGATACATATCCCAATGAGCCACATACTGAATACAAATTAGCATTATCTAGATTGTATTTTGGGGCAGCCAGATAAGAATAATAGACTTGGAGTCAGGAAAACTCATCTTTGCGGGTTCAAATCTAGCTTCAGACACTTACTAGCTGTGTGACCCATGTAAGTCACTTAACCCTGTTTGCCTCAGTTTCCTCATCTGTAAAAAGAGTTGGAGGACACAACAAACCACTCCACTATCTGTGAAGAAAACCCCAAACAGGGTTACAAGGAGTCAGACACAACTGACAGGATAACAACAATATTGTATTTTTATTTATTTTGTTAAACATTACGTAATTACATTTTAATCTGGTCTAGAGAGTCTGCTGCAAGTTTGACAATTCTATCGTAAACAGTTATGTACACAGTCCGTTTAGGAATCATTATAAGATCGTAACTTTCAATCTGGATAGATTAGGGGTCATCTAATTCATGCACTTTATTTTACATATAATGAAACTAAGGTCCTCTGAAGTTAAGTGACTAACCCAAGATCACACAGCACTAAGTGGCGGAGCAAGCCAGCATGGTAGATAGAACTTGCTTGAAAGGGGTCATTTCCACTTAAAACAGGTGTCTAACGTGATTTTATAGTATTTAGCTAGAACAAAAGCCTTGGAACTAAAGGAATTGAAGAGATTAGGACAGCAAGTGGTTACTTGTGGGAATTAAGTGAACCATACTGATTCCATTTTGTGACTCAATTTTGGAGTTAGTTTGGTTCCCTTTCTATTTAATTAATGGTTTAATCCAATTTCTGTCTTCTTAGAAAACTTGATATTCAATTGTGGGAACTGTGAGATAATCTTACTGCCCTGTTTGAACATAGCCCTGCATGGCTGGAAAGCTGATCATCTCTACCAGATGCTTAGAGACTCTTAACTAAGGACCTAAGTCAGGCTGACCAGAAACCCAGTCAGATACAAAGATTTAATGCAAGGAGTTTTGTCCCAATTATACATTTTAAGAAACCCAGATGTTTTATCTGAAAACTGGACCCACATTGATTAATCAGTTATTGTTTCCATGTTCCTTTGATTGTTTACAGACACTTGGGGGGGAGTGGGATACGTCTTTTTCTGAATTCAGGGAACTGCACCTGTTTACTCTCCCTCTCCCAACTTGGAAGTCCCTAATCTTTCACCCAATTAAAAATCAGATTACTTAATATTGTATTGTTTCCTTTTGATTAACTAGTCTTATTTGATTAATTGTTTTTAATGTATAAAAGTCTGTCTCCTCCTATATTTGGGATCCAGTGCCAAAGCTGAGGAAGGTGCCTAGTCCTTATTTTTTAAAAGCATTACCATGCATTACTTAATAAATCAATATGCTCTGAAGCTCAAACCTTTGTTTCCTCGGTCATTTCATCTTTTACCCACCACAGAACAGAATCATTTCAGACACTAACTTTACTCCTTTCCTATCACAGGGCTAACTAAAATAATGAAAAACCAGACAGAAGTAACCTCAGGAAAAGAGACATACTCCCTATAGCCTAAAGAACAGAAGTCTGAAAAGGAGGAAACTGTTAATTAAATGTTTGCATATAATCAGATGAGAAAATATGAAGAAAACACTAAGCTATAAACATTACATAAATGTAAGTCATTTAATTTTATAATTAATAAATGTTTAACTTAATTACTGAATTAAAAGATAGTTAAAATTACCATAATATCTTATCTGAAAAATATCATAATTAATTTAGTAGTTACATGTCTTGTTTTACTACACATTTTCTGTGAAATAGATACATTAAATTCTGCAAGATGGATGAGTTCTAGGTTTGCAGACGATTTACAAATCGTGGCTAAATGGATATGCTCTACATTAAAGAATATGAAATATCACAGTAGAAATTTCATCACTCTTTTTGTTTAAAAGAGGAGATCTGTTATACAACAAATCTTGACCTCCTAATTCTAAAACATAATTTGGTATTCTGTGAACTCTTCAAGAACTCATCCTGGGACAGATCCTTACAAATGATTAAAATATGACAATTACTGAAGGGAACCCTAAAAACTATCAAGAGGCCATAACTTATAAAAGGCTCCCTTTGTCTTTTCATGTCTTATCCAGATTTTAAGTCTCTAGAAAAAGTGTTGTTCATCTTGTTGCATTTTGCTATCCTATGAAGCAACAAACATAGAATAAGAGTCACATAAGGATCACAGTGCAAACATTTCTAAATTCTAAATTCAGTCCTTGGCCTTTGTTCTTATAATGCTATGCAAGATTTACAGATGAACATGAGCAGAAAATCAAGAAATAAATCAAATATCTCAGAGAGATGGTTGGGTAGGTACTGAACTATTTTGGGAATTCTCTGACCGACTTTACCATGTCTTTGCATCAGGTAGCTTCTTCTCCTCTTCCTCTTCTCTCACTTCCCTCCCCCTTTCAGCTTCCTTTTGTGTTTTGTCTTCCTCTATTAGACTGTAAACTCTTTGAAGACAAGGACTGTATAGTCTTTTTTCATATTGGTATCCCTAGTACTTACAGTGCCTGGCACATAGTAGGAACTTAATAAATTTTTAATGACTATTTACTGAGGTACTAGTTATCACATTTATCTTGGCTGCTCAGATGTTTAAAATTCATATTGTTCTAGAAAAACACCAAAATCTTTTGACATAATAGCAAATAATATTCCTGTATCTTCATTAAAACAGTTGAAACACTTAATTGAAAGCTGATCTCAATTAATTCGGTTGAAAATTACATGAATACTAACTTCAGTAAATTGTTTCTCCATTTTGTTAATACCTTTTATTGCAGGGGCTTCATCAGTATAAAGGTAATCCAAGATAACTTGTAGTACATCAGAATGTATGGGCATTTCCAGAGCAGCACAACTGGAAGCCTAAATAAAGTTTGATTAATATATATATATATATATTTACATATGTATATGCACACACATACACACCACATGTGTTGTAACCTGATTTAAAACATAGACAGACATCACAAACTTCCTCAGAGAATAACACTATAGAAATTATTTCTAAACATATTCAAACAAACACCAAAGAATAAGAAAATATTACTTTCATAAATCAGCATACAGCATGAAAGAGAAACGAAATAACACACTATCCACAAACAAGATGGTATTGACAAAGAGTTGAGTATATCCAAATAATAATTAACAAATTTTAATTGTACTGTTTCTACTACCAATTTTAAGTTCTAAATGTTACTATTTTTCAAGTGCTCATTTTGTTGGTGGAATTCAACAAAAATTTATATTAAGTGAATAAAAGCTTATGCAACAGTAAAACAGTTGAGTGATATGTCCGAGAAATATTTCAAAAGCTAGTGTGTCAAGTATTTTTATTAGGTCACATATAGCTCATATTAAAGAAAATAATTTTCAAAATGTTTAAAAAATCAATCCTTCAAAATAAAATCACGTTTTCTATAAGATTAACAAACACTTACACCAAGCTATAAGCCAGTGGATTAAAATACAATAACACAGTAGTTACAAAAGATTGGATTACTGAAGAGGATATGTATATTGTTAAACTTCTTAAAAATTTAGCTTCTTAAAAGTTTAATTTACCAGATAAAGTTTGGATGATCTGTTTATACAGAGACACAGACATAGATATAGATATAAATTAATTTCTAGGTGTGATTAAAGAATGAATATTAACATGACATTTACGTTTCTACTTAAAAACATACCTCAATCCATGAGCTACTCAGCATGCTATGAAAATATTCTGGAAGGGAAAAAATTAAAAAATTAATTTAATAATGGTAGTAAAGTATGCAAGTAGTAGATAAATTACGAAACTGTATATATATATACATACCAAGCCTAGCACAAAGTACACATCTGTGACAGGGGAATTCTTTCCCATCCACTGACTTCATGGTCACATCACAAAGAAATGAACTGTAAAATAAAATACATATCTGAAGCAAATGCCATTTCTTTGCTTGAAAAAATAAAGCCATTTCTTCATAATAAAAAATCAAATCTTTACTAGTTTCAAAAACAGTATTTATTAAGCACTAAGAATGTACCAGGCAGTTTAACCACCAAAGAGAACATAAGAAAAATAGGTAGAAAACTATTTGTAGCAACTTTTTTTCTAGTGGCAAAGAACTGGAAACTAAGACGGTGCCCATAACTTGGGAATAGCTGGACAAAGCATGGTGTATGAATGTGGTATAAATGATGGAATACTATTGTTCAGTAGCAAACAATAAAAGAGAGTTTCAGAGATATCTGGATAGATGTACTAAATAAAGTAGAATGAAGTGAGCAGAAGCAGAAGAACTTATACAATAAAAATAACATAAAGACAAATTTTAAAAACTTAAGAACTTTATTCAGTGCCATGACCAACGATGATTTCATAGGACTGATGATGAAGAATGCTATACACCTCCTGAAAGATAAGCAATGGACTTGATGCAGGATGAAACAGAGATTTTTAGACACAGACACTATGGGAATTTATTTTGCTTGAATATGCTTCTGTTACAAGAGTTTTTTTTTCTTTTTTCAATGAGGGAAAGGTAGAAGACAGAAAAGAGAAATGTTTATGTGCTTAATAAATGCTTGTTGACTTAACTGAAAAAAATACCCAAAAAAGTATGCATAGTTACATATAACATATTTACACTTTGAATAAAACAGCCAATTTATAGAGGATACTGAGCTAGAATTTCAAAGAGAAAATTAATAAAGCTATACATAAAGACAATCTTTTTATCCAAAGCTTCTACTTCATGATAAAGATAAAAATATAGTAAAGATAAAAATAAAAATATAGTAAAGAATTTCTAATAAGAGAAAACGCAAATATAACAGAAAATGGCAACCCCCACCAGTATTTATCTACTAGCTATTTGCTTATCTGTGTGTATGTGTTGTTGGTGTATGTATATGGGTGTATAAATGTGTACTAGATAGCTATTATATTAGGATTCATACCGTGAACTTTTATAGGTAAAATAGTGCTATGATTTTTCTGGTACTTTCATTAATAAACATCTTTGAGCAAACTCCCAAGTATATATGCCTTATGCTATACTTAGCATACCTGGCTTATAGTAAGTTATTGTGTACAAGCTTACTGACTGCTGAATTCCAGGATATATGTTAGAGTTTTTGGCTGAAGCACCACATTTCATGTCAAGGTCATGACTGCAACTACTAAAGTAGGAGCCAATTTACATTGCTCTTTTGTGGCTATAGAGTACAACATAAATCCCATCAGTGTCTGGTCATAGGCACTTAATATTTGGGCTCAGACACTTACTAGCTGTGTGACCCTGGGCAAGTCACTTAACCCTTTTTGCCTCAGTTCCTCAGCTGTAAAATAAGCTGAAGAAGGAAAATACAAACCACTCTAGTATCTTTGCCAAGAAAACCCCAAATAGGGTCATGAAGAACTGGATACAACTGAAATAACTGAACAACAATCTGGTCATAGCAAATGAGTAAGATGGAGATTAAAATATGTAGACATATTAAAAAAAAACCACATTGTAATTGTTTCTTTCAAAAAAAAAGCTTGTCTTTCTAGACAAGTTAGTATGCATATGTCCTTAAGAACTAATCCTTTTTCAAGAATAACACATATTCATCATACTACTAAAGTTATTTACATTCCAGAATAACAAGAAGGAATAAAAGGGAGGGAGGGAAGGAGGAAAAGAGAAAATAATGGAGGGACGGAGGGAAGAAAAAAGGGAGAAAAGGGAAGGAGGAAGGATCCCTTCCATCAATAAAGTAAAGTTCTTCTATCTTAGTACATAGTTTCCTGTACTGCACCAATTGCTACACTCCTCCCTCATATCCCCAAGAAAGATGAGTGGTAACAGATAGAACAGGCAAGGTACCCCAAAGTGAAGTCTAAGCTCATTTCCTAATTTGAATAACAAAATCAAGCATAGGAGGAAAAAAAAACCCTTCAATTTTCCAACTTACCACTGTTTCTGATTTAGTTTTGGTTTATTTCCAGTTTCTGTTGTAACAACAACATTGATTTTTCCGTTTTCAAATTTGACTCCATTCAGTCTACAAAATAAACAAAAATGCCCACTTAGTATAAAAATTCCATCCTGCCACCTAAAAAATTTCTAGGTAGCATATTTTCTAAACATTTGAAAAAGATAAGATATATGCTTGTCATAGAAGTTTAAGGAGTATTTTGCTTTAGGGGGTTGCATTATACGACCTAATTTTATAGTCTTTGAAAACTTATGGACAATCCTGTCATGACACAGGATCCTAGGAAAATCACTTAAATGGTCTACACCTTTTGTTTCTTCATCAGTAAAGACAGTCAAAAGACAGGTCCAAATGTCACAGGGTTATGTGATACAAATATACATATACAAGGTCAACCCACAGAGTCTAAGGAGAAAATAAATATCATTAAGAACAGTTTTTCTCATCGACTCCAAATTTGTAGCTTTTGGCTCACCTGATTCTTTCCTAAATTCAACACCATTGCAGAATTTAGTTAAGTCAACTCTAATATACCATTATAAGAGTAGATCCCAGAAATAAAAAACAATAAAACTATAGTAGTAAAGAAGGGCTAAATACATTTGTTAAAAAAAAACACTTAGCATTGCTTCTCTGCCAATAAATAGTTTTGAAGTTCTGGTCACTACTGGTGACTAACAATTTCTATTTCAGAATATTTCCAGTCATAAGAATGACTTACAAAATAACAATGACTTAGGAGTCAGGAGACTAAAGTTCTAGGCCTAGCATTGCCATTGGTGAGTTATGGAGATTGGTTAACTAATCTCTCAGTAATTCAAGTTCTTCATCTATAAAAGAAGGTTGGGGGGGCAGCTAGGTGGCGCAGTGGATAGAGCACCAGCCCTGAAGTCAGGAGGACCTGAGTCCAAATCCAGTCTCATACCAAACACTTGACACTTACTAGCTGTGTGACCCCAGGGCAAGTCACTTAACCCCAATTGCCTTTTTAACAAAAAAAAAAAAAAAAAAAAAAAAAAAAAGGTTGCCCTGGATAACCTCCGAGATTCCTTCCAACTCTCCAGCCTATGATTTAAGAACCCATCACTCTACATGCACACAAGTACAAAACTTAGGCTCTTCCCTCAAAAAGTTTACAGTCTAATTTGGGATCCATTATTAAGGCATATTAAAAACAATTAAACTCTATGACCAAATTTTGTTTCAGTAATTATTGCCCATTATGAACAATAGCCATAATGATGATACTGAAACACTAAAAAGATACTAAAATTCCTCTTGAAACAAAGACCATGTTGTGTTTAATATAGTTTTACCATGAAATGTTACTATTTTATTCTAGTTATTTGCAAATAAGCAATGTTATATACAGTCCATCCTCAACATTTGTGCATTTAACTTTCATAACTTCAAGCATTTCAGTGATTTTATTAGTAACCTCATTTTCACTTTCACATTGGTAACTGTGCACATTCATGGCTACGTGCAGTAGAGGAAAAAAATGAGAGGTGTAATACACGCAAGTTTATAGAGTGGCTAGTACCCTACAGGATGGTTTGGCATAATTGACCAGTTGGCGAGAGACATCGAGGCTACCAATACCAGCATCAATTGCAGGCTCAGGTTAAATGTAAACTTGCCTCTGCTATTCTCCCATACTCTGAAACTCTTAAGGATCTCAAATAGCACAAGACAGATTATTTCAAGCTGATGCATCCTTTACGATCTTCAATTCCATCCACCAGCCCTGAAAGATGGTATCAGAAGTGATGTCAAGACCTTGCCAGTCTCAGAGTCTTCCAACAGCAGCGACTGAAGTCCTAGCAACCTCTCCCTTGGTTTTCAGAGGGTGACCAAGGGAGAGGTTTACAACAGTGTAGTATGCAATACAATGCCCTCACACAGCCCCATATGACACAGGGGAAGATAAGATTCAGGTTAAAAAAAAATTTAGTTTTAAGACTCTTATTTGCTGTACAGTATTTACGGTACTGTAGATTTCTTGGGTTATGAAAACTGAATATTGTCTGAAATCATTTTTTAAAAATTGAGATGACAGCACAAAAAGTTACAGAATTCTAGGGAATTATGAGCAGGAAAAAATGGGTTTTTTTTGTTTGTTTTTGGTAATTTTTTTATCAATTTATTTTGCTTTATTAACAATCACTTCCATAAGCTTTTGAGTTTTAAATTTTTCTCCCCCTCCCTCCCCAAGATGGCACACAATCTGATATAAGCTATACATATACATTCCTATTAAACATATTTTCACATTAGTGATGTTGTAAGAAAGAATTAAAACCAATAGGAGGAACCACCAGAAAGAGGAAACAAAACACAATAGAAGAAAGAAATAGTAAACAGCAAGTATGCTTCAATCTGCATTCAAACTCCATAGTTCTTTCTTTGGATGTGCATTGCATCTTCCATCATGAGGCCTTTAGAGATGTCTTAGATCCTTGTATTGCTGAGAAAGGTTAAGTCTATCAATATTAGTCATCGCATAATGTGGCTGTTATTGTATACAACATTCTCCTGGTTCTGCTCCCTTCACTCAGCATCAGACCATACAAGTTTTTCCAGGTTTTTCTGAAGTCTGCCTGCTCATCATTTCTTATAGCACAATAGTATTCCATTACATTCATATACCACAACTTGTTAATGATGTCCAATTGATAGGCATCCCCTCAATTTCCAATTCTTGGCTACCACAAAAAAGAGTTGCTATAAATATTTTTGTACATGTGGGTCCTTTTCCCATTTCTATAATCTCTTTGGGATACAGCCCTAGAAGTACTATTGCTGGGTCAAAGGGTATGCACATTTTTATAGCCCTTTGGGCATAGTTCCCAATTGCTCTCCAAAATTTCGCAACTCCACCAACAATGCATTAGTATTCCAATTTTCCCACATCTTCTCCAACATTTATCATTTTGTCATCTTGGTCAATCTGATAGGTGTGATGTGGTACCTCAGAGTCATTTTGATTTGCATTTCTCTAATCAATAGTGATTTAGAGTATTCTTTCATATGACTATATCTATAGTCATTTAATTTAGGCTTTAATTTCTTCATCTGAGAACTGCCTGTTCATATCCTTTGACCATTTATCAATTGGGGAATGACTTGTATTCTTATAAATTTGACTTAATTCTCTAAATATTTTAGAAATGAGGCCCTTATCAGCAACATTGGTTGTAAAAATTCTTTCCCAATTTTCTACTTTCCTTCTAATCTTGGTTGCATTGGCTTTGTTTGTGCAAAAACTTTTCAATTTAATGTAATCAAAGTTATACATTTTGTATTTCGTAATGTTCTCTATCTCCTGTTTGGTCATGAATTCTTCAGGAAAAAATGTTTTGCATGCTAGTAATTTTATTTTGTGTACTGCATTTTATGATTTCATGGTTACTGTGTGAGGAAAAGTGCATACTATTGGAATTACTATTTTGTTATATAAGTTGTATGCAGAAAAGCATATTTTCAGCAAAGCAAAAGATTAGTTTTTCATGGTTGGAGGAACTTAACCCCCTATTTCCCATAGATTCAATGTATCAACATTCACATTTTTTTTACTTTTACACCATTTTTGAGGAATATTACCCTGTGAAAGTTGAGGACTTAATGTTTTTATATGGTATGTGGTTAATTCTCTGTTAACCTGATCATTAAAAAGAGCATTTCCTTTACATTCAAGAAAAGAGAATTCACTTTAGTAAGATGCTAATTACAAAAGACTCAATTTCAGAAACATGTATCAACATTCACATTTTTTTACTTTTACACCATTTTTGAGGAATATTACCCTGTGAAAGTTGAGGACTGACTGTTTTTATATGGTATGTGGTAACTCTCTGTTAACCAGATCATTAAAACAAGCATTTCCTTTACATTCAAGAAAAGAGAATTTACTTTACTAAGATGCTAATTACAAAAGACTCAATTTCAGAAACAAACACAACACAGCTAAGTTTCAAGAGGATAGAAAGGCCCAGGAAAAATGCAAACTACCTCACCCACTCCTCTTCCTTTAGTGATACATGATTACCACAAATCTATCTACAAAATATCAAAGAAATAAACATGGAAGGATAGAAAAAGGGAATGTAAACACTGTTATCAGATTTTTTTAAAAAAAAAACATCTATAGTAACTAGAATAAGTACATAATCTCAAAAGAAAAACAAAATGGAAGGGGAGAAGCAGGGAAGAAAGGAAAAGATGCTATGGGAAGAGAATGGGAGTTAGTTAGGAATATCAAATGTTACCATACCTACTACTCAAATTGCTGACATCAAATTTCTTTGCAACACTTTGCAACATCTTTACAGGATTCACATCTTCACCCACACTTTTGCCCTTTTTAGAAGGTTTCATTTTATTTTTTTGTGTTTCATTGACTGTGTGGGCTTGATTACTTTGATAAACTTCCAGTGCTGATTTCTGATTAATATCTTCATGAAAACTCATTTTATCAAAATTGGAAATTAGAGTATCTTGATATTCTTCTGGCTTTTCCTTATACACTATTTTAGGTTTATAGCCATGAGTTAAAAAATCACAAGTGTCTGTATAGATGAATTGTAGAAGGTAAGCAAATAAATCAGGGTGAACCTTCTCTATAACGAAGAGATCACATCCTACAGCATCTTCATCTTTGCGATAAACATCTGGACAATCGACAGAAATACCATCTGAAGTGAATAACTTCCTGAAAAACTCTGATCGCATAGCCAAAATATACTTGTGCACAGGGAAAGTTTTATTGCCAACTTGAAATGTCACATCATGGGTATCGTCCATCTCATCTGTTTCCTCCAACAGTGTGCCAAAATCTTCCGCAAAAGATGACGAGGACACAGTTGGAATTTCATAAAGGCTAATAAACAAAAGAGAACAATCATCTTAAGAGTATGACAAATGAAATTCCAGCACTTTTCATATTGGAAAATTTACATCAATTGTATTAAATTCAGGGAACTTCCAACTCACTATTTCCTAGAATACTATGGTTCCCAATTTTGACCACTATAACACTCAATTTCTTTCTTTATTTTAAAAAGTTCTCTATTCTCGAGTTTTTTGTCCTCAATTTTTTTCTTTCAAAATAAAGAGACAAATATGAAGTTCTCTGAAAGCAGTATTGACCATTACAACAAAAAAATTTTAGAAATGAAATTTTGAAAGAGTATTTGACAAGTTCCCCTCAGAAAAAGGCAAAATAAAAATTAAGTTACATTTTTCATCCAGTGTCTTCTTTGGTACAGGGCTCTTCCAGTGAGAAAATTCCCTTTACCAACACAGATCAGCAACTGTTCTGCAGCTTACAGTCTTGCGTGGGCACTGAGAGGTTAAGTGAGTTAAACTAGCAAAAGCTAGCATGTTAGATATTCTTAGCTACGAGGCTGGTTTCCGATTCATGTGATCATGTTGCCACAGATAAGGAAATCAGAACCCAGGGATGTTAAGTGACTTATCAAGGTCACAGTGCTAATAAGGAGCAGATTTAGGATTCAAACTTCCACATCACAATTCAATGAGAGAGAGCGCATACATAAAGAATTTAGTAACCAAAGAATGCTAAAGAATTATAACTTTAAAGTACCAGAGGCACGTAAGTGCCCCAGGTATTTAAATTCTACTGCAATATTTTTTAAAATAGCCTTTTGTCTTAGACTGTAAACAAGTCCCAGAATTGTATTTGCTATTCAACAGCAAACAAAGTCCATCCATGAGTGTTCTTTATCTTCAGAGCCAATAAAATTCTGTTTCTGTGTAACCTCTACAGTACATAGTCACTCAGGAAATTCAATTTTAATGAGAAAGCTATGTATAAAGGGGGAAAATACCATCTTCCTCTCCACGAAGAAAACAAAAGAGAAATAAAACTTTAAATATCACAATTACCTTGTCTTAGGGTCTGATTGCAAAACTGCAAAGTTACTTCCACTTGGATCCGTGCTAATACTGACAGCTCTGTGGACAAAAGTAAGTTTCGTAAGCCGAATTCTCTCATACACACTACTTGTGTCATAGACACAAGATCCATCTGATGAGGAATTATGGAGGTTTGATATAACTTCTGTTAAAAACAAAAACAACAACAACAAAATTAAATATCCATTGGTTAATGATTCAATAAAACAAAATAAGAACATAAAAACTTTTTTTTTTTAGAAAAACAGAGCTATATGGTAGCCACATCTTCTGTACAGTACACATAAAGCATCCTACACAGACTTTTATTTCTGTCTTTACCCCTAGCACCTAACATGATGACAAGCACATAGGACATGCTTAAAAAAGGTCTGGTGAAATGAACTAAACATGACATTCCAAAGATCTATGACTTCATTCCTATGGGTATTCTATTTAATCTATTTAATCAATCAACAAGTATTTATTAAGCACCTTCTAGGTGCCAGGCTAAGTAATAGGGATACAAAAGCAAAACTGAAATAGTCCTGGCCCTCAAAGAGCTTACGTTCTTTGGAGGATCAGTAAATTCACATATGTGTAAACACAAAATAGATATAAGCTGATAAATCCAGGGGAACAGCTCTGATAGCTAAAGGAATCTGAAAATACTTCATGGTAATTACAGTGCTTGAGCTAAGGCTTGAAAGAAACTAGAAATCCTAAGTAATTAGGAAGTGTCATTCCAAGCATGAGGGACAGCCAGTGCAAAGGCACAGAGAAAGAGAATTGAATTCTATGTAGAGAAATAGTTAAAAGGCCACTCTGGCTGGAATGCAGACTGTGTGAAAGGGAGTAATGTCTAGTAAAGGTGGAAAGATAGGTTGAGGCCAGTTTATGACGCCCAGAGTTTGTATCTGCTCAGAGAAAAAAGGCAATCACTGAAGTTTCTTAAGGAAGTGACAGGTCAAACTTGAATTTGAGAAAAATCACTCTGGCAACTGTGTGGAACACAGGTGGAGTGGAGAAAGGCCTGAGGCGAGAAAATCATTTAGGAGCCTGTTCTAATAGCTAGGCAAGAGGTGATAAGGAGCTGAAGTAGGGTGGTAGTTATGTATATAGAGAAGGGGACAGAAAAAGATTGCTCTGGAATTAGAAACAACAAATCTGGCAACTGATTGGATATGTAGGGCAAGAGACAGTGAATAGTTGGGAATTACACCAAGGTGGTAAACCAAGAGATCACATTCTCTCCATGCCTTAGTGGATTATGTTCATTAATTGCTGTAATGAAAAACATTATTAGGATGGTGGCCAACCTTTGTATGATAAGCGTCTTGGAACTTAGGTAGGTCTTAGATAACAGACATGCAGTTCACTGTAGGGTCCACACTGATTTCTTTAAAGTCTAAGAGGACCTCCTCAACCATGTATGCCACTGATATAATATTTTTCTTACATCTTATTTTAAAGTTCAAAAATATATACACATTCAGCCTTGGAACATCTCCATTTCAGAGAATTAAATAAAAAAAATATAATTTTCCTTGGCTTTTTTTAAAATCCCCTGATCTCTGCTCTCCATCTCTGTCACCCCCTCCCCCACTGGGAAAAAAAATAAAAAGAAAACCCATGCAACCAATACACATAGTCAAGCAAAATACATTCCCATATTGGCCATGTCTTAAAATACACATCTCATTTTGCATATCTAGTTCATCACCTGTCAGGAGATGGGCAGAATTCTAAATTACTGGTCCTCCGGAATCATGGTTGATCATTGCATTGATCAGTTAAGTCTTTCAAAATTTTTCATTTTTACAATGTTGTTATAATATAAATTGTTCTACTCATTCTGCTCTCTTCACTCCACATCAATTCAAAGTGAAATCTGAGCCAGTGTCCACCTTCCCTACTCCTTCCTTGACTGTATATATTTCTACTTGTGCCCCTGTACCCCCAGCTTGTATGAGGCAAGTTCTCTCCTTGCCCCATTCCAACCCTTTTCTTTCCTAGTACATCATTTCCCCCCCTACATTTCCTTTCTTCTAAGATCATCAAAACAACAAAAATCATTCCCAGACCCCCCAAGTTATTTAACTCCCTCCCTGCTGATATTATTGTTCTTAGGGAATGTTTATATCCTCCCCCCCATTTCAATGCAAACACTTCATTCTTATAGTCTTTTTTTCTAACAGCTTGCTTGTATTTACCTTTTTATGTTTTTCTTTATTCCTGTGTTTGTAGTTCAAAGTTTCTACTCAGCTCCAATCTTTTCATCAGGATTGCTTGATAGTCCTTTATTTCATTAAAAATTCATTTTTCCTCCTGTATGATTTTCTCAGTTTTGCTGCGTAAGTTATTCTTTGTTTTAAGCCTGTGTCTTTTGCCTTTTGGAGTACTGTATTCCATGCTTTCCACTCCTATAGAGTGGAAGCTGCTAAATCTTCTGTAATTCTTATGTAATTGTGGTTCTTCAGTACTTGAATTCTTTCATTCTGGCTGCTTGTAGTATTTTTTTTCTTTGACTTGAAAGTTTTAATTTTTGACTATGATATCCCTGGAAACTTTCACTTTGGGTTTTTTTTTCAGGAGGTGACTAATGGATTCTTTCTATTTTCACTTTGTTCTCTGGTTCTCAGAAATCTAGGCAGTTTTCATTCATGGTTTCTTGAAATATGATAGCCAGTTTTTTCTTTTTTTTTCTTTTGTCATGACTTCAAAGTGGTCCAGTAATTCTTAAATTCTCTCTCTGATGTATTTTCCAAGTTGTTTTTTGATATGAAGCACCTTACATTTTCTTCTATTTTTTTCAACCTTTTTGCTTTATTATTTCTTGTAGTCTCATGGAATCATTAAATTCTGTTTGATCCATTCTAATTTTCAAGCAAACAACTGTTGTGTGGATTAGGTTTTATATCTCTTGTGCTAAGTTTTTAATTCTTTTTCCAAGTCTCATCTTCATAGCTCTCATTTCTTTTCCAACTACATCTCATTTCATTTAAAATATCATTTTAAATTCATTTTTCACTCATATGATTTCTTCTAAAAATTCTAATTGATCCTTTGGTAAAGCTGTGTTTTTGCTTTGAGGATTTGCTTGTAGGTGTTTTGGAATAATTCTTTTGAGTTTGTGTCCCAGGCATCCCTGGCCTGACAATAATTCTTAATCATTTTTTGCTTAGTCATTCTTTCAGCAATCTGTTCTGGGCAACCCAGTATTGCTGCCCTGAGGGAAAGCATCTAGGAGAACCCCCATGCAGTTTTAATGAAGGCTCGGTCCACAATATGCTCTGGGTGATGCTTGAGGTTCTGAGTCCATATTCTAGGCCCCAAGCTGCTGTCCTGGACAAGAGGCTGAGTACAAAATCAGAAGATAAGCTCTAGGAGTTCCATATTGTCCAACCATACCAAGACTCTGAGCAATGAGTTCATGATTCTAGGGATCCTGTTCCATAGTTCCTGGCTTGGTTACATGAATGTAAGTCAAATTTGTGATCTTGGGCTAGGAAGATGACCCTCTGAAGTTTTTCCTTTGATTTCCCCATTCACTATTTGGTTTGGTGGTCTTCTTAGATCATTGCTGGAGTAGCTGTGGGAGAGCCTGGCTGTACTACTTTCTCTTACTTCATCATCTTGGCTATGACCACTGGTATAATCTTTGAAAAACCAGAGTCACCTCCATGCCATATTAAGATATTAAACCAAGACTTCAGTAGAACAATACAAAATAATAATAAAGGTAAAACTACATATGGCATTTTGGTGGGTCATCTATGCCTGATCACAAACTGCAGAATGCTACAAATAATTCCAAATAATTTATAGCAAAATATAATTCACACTTAGTTTTGAAATCTAAGCAATGACCTATTTACCAACATCTACTTCATTTAAAAAAAAAAAACATAAGAGACAAAAAAGGTGGTGACCAGAGGAATTCCTTATCCTTTTCTAATGCCCTAATTTCCCCTCACCATCTCTCTTCAGATGCTACAACACTGTACCAGCCCATCCCTTTCCCCCACTCTGATAGTAGTTTTTCCATCTTGAATCAAATCAAGAATAGAGTGGGGTTTGAGGAGGCAGGACTGATTGTGGCAAGTAGCGAACACAGCAGCTGCATTTCCTTTATCCTCTCTACTGCTATTCCCCTTAATCCCGGTAGCAGCCCCAAATACATTCCACTCCATCATCTGATCCCCCACTTAGAGGCCCCATGAGACAAATTAAATGTCCTGAATAGCCTGAGCCCTATAATTCAGAAAGTAACCTTCTCTCAGTCTTTTGTGTACAAGTACCCACAATTTAATTCTTATTTGTGACTGCTTCTTTTAGAGTTTTGTTAATTCCCCCATTTACAAAGTGAATAAAGTAATTAGAAAATGTTAAAAGCGTAGTATGTGATATTCCTAAAACAGTCCAGGAAAAATGAAATAAATATACCAATTTCTAAGGCTTGTAGATAATTGATGAGGAAACATGCCAGAATACCAAGGATTCTTTCTGATGGGAAGCCCTAACCATACTACCCCTTTCCCCACAAACTGACATCCCAGTTTGTGTTCCTTACCACCACCACCACCTCTCCCCAAATACACAGCATGTCCTTCTCTGTTGAAACATTTTTCCCAAACTTTAGGAACCAGCACCAGTAACTTGGTGTTGGCACAGTCCCTGCTCTCACTTTTGGACAGAGCTAAAGGAAGAATGAATCCTTTATTCCACTGGAAAAGAAGGAAGATGTATATCTGACCTGCTGAATGCATTTTCCCCTAGAAACATTATTCACAAGGTAGTTAGCTTTTATGCTTTAGGTACATTATTTGTTAATTAAGAAGTTTTGTGCCAGCCAGCTTGGGAACCTAACTTCCTAACATTGCTTCCATGGGAAAATGAGCTCTAAATACAAAACAATTTAAAAATCAACTTTTGAGACACTATCCATTTTCTTAAAGATTACATGCACATTGTATGACTTTTTCCAGGGTGCTGATTAGCTTAATTTTACATTTTGAGGATCATCTTAAAATTAGTTTGCATTTCCTAAGACACATACATTAACTGATAAGACCAAAAAAAAATGTATAGAATAATACTGGCATGACAAGTCACCCTAGATTTATTAAATAATTTAATGGCCTAGCTATCATACAGCTTTTAATGTATAGTCAATTAAAAGCATTCTGCAGATAACTGATAAAGTTGTTAATTTACAAAAGAGTAACTGCAAATTGACAAAATTATACAGTATTTTTTATTTTCAATTACCATCTTCCCTTGAATTTTTTCCAAAAAGGAGTAAACAAAACCCATCTCTACTTTTTCCATAATAAACTAAGTATTAATAAAAAATGTTACCAACAATTGTTTAGTTTTTTAAAAAGAAAACTTCTATTCTTCAAACAATCTGATCTTGAAGAGCACTATGAGAATGAAAGGCAATGTTATTGCTCTGATCTACAGAATTTAATAATGTTCAAGTACTTGTAAAATTCTACTCTCCTTTAGACTTTCCCTGTAGCCACAGAACAAAATATAAAAAAAAATATAACTTCATGGGCTGCTGGTACATTACAATGAGCAAATAAATTGCTTGAGAAAATCAAGGCCCATTGCATATACACAAAAGTAAGGAAATGAACAATTTCACTAAAAGGGGAAAATAAGAGAAGAAAGTAAAATTACTTGCAAAACAAGAGACACATATTTTTATGTAAAATAGACTCTTTAGAAATAAACTGACCTTTCTTTTCAGTATTCTTTTTTCCTTCTTCAAGCCACTTCCCCGTAAATCCTTCACCATCTTGGGTAACAAACAGTATTTCATTCCTATTTAAAGCAATATCAGACATGAAGACCTGGCGACCATAAGCCCATCGACACTGTTTCATGTAGCTGCTAACTGATTTCCAGCAAAATACCTAGAATAATACCAAAATTCAATTGGAAAATAAAGAAATACATCTGATCAGTCAAAATCTAAATGTTATAGGAATTAAAGAAAACATCTTTGAAAAACCTTAACTAGAATATTCAAATTTTCATTTCAGCATAAAGGGAATACAAATGGAAGGAAGCAAAGAAGAAGAAAAGGAAGAAGGAAGAGAGGGAGGAAGAAATCGACAGAGGGAGGGAGAAGAAAGAAAGAGGCTTCTGGACTTCATCTCATCATGATCACTTGCCATCCATCTCAGCTCTCATATCCATAGGTGTGATGACTTCAAAGATTTTTTGCCATAAAAGCAGGCTGAGAACCAGACCACAATCAACTAGCAAAAATAAGAAAGTGTGCCCCTAGGCTAAGATAAAATTTTTTCTCTGTGACACCTATGTCTAGGCAGAGATCATAGTCCTTTCTCCCAGACAATTATTAGGCCATTAGCAATGCCCAAGATTCTCTTTGTCTCAGCAAACAAATGATTTTGAGCCAGAGCACAAAATAAGCAAAGAAGGCAAGGTTCTCAAATCACCCAGCCCTCATTCCAGCCTTCATCAGGTACACTTGTCAGCAGCAAAACTTGGAAAGGTTTCCATCTATGCTTACATTATCAATACTGGAAGGGCTGTGGGAAAACAGAACACTAAAGTACTGTTGGTGGAGTACTGAAGTGGTCCAACAACTCTGGAAAACAACTTGGATTTATGGAAGAACAGTTATTAAACTTGACCTACTGATTCCACTCCTGGACGTATGCCACAAGGTCAAAGACAGAAATAAAGGTCCTAAGTATCACCAAATATTCATTACAGTACTTTTTGTAGTTGCAAAAATAATTGGAAACAAAGTAGATATCCATTAACTGAGCAGTTAGGTAGAACAGTAGATAGAATTCCAGGCTGGAGTCAGGAAGACAAGTCGTCCTGAGTTAAAATCTGGCTTCAAGACACCTACTAGCTGTGTGACCAACCTTAGGCAAGTCACTTAACCCTGTTTGCCTCAGTTTCCTTATCTGTAAAATGAGCTGGAGAAGGAAAAAGCAAACCACTCCAGCATCTTTGCCAAGAAAACCCCAAATGAGGTCACAAAGAGTCAGACATGACTGAAATCACTGAATAACTTATTAACTAGAGAATAACTGAATAGTTGTACATGAATATATTGTAATGCTAGTAAGTCATAAGAAACAATGGATATGAGGAATTCAAACAACATAGGAAGACAATAAGTTGATTAAAGAGAAGCAGAAACAGGTGGACAATGGACACAATGACTATAATAAGCTAATTAATAAGCTTTATGTGCCTGCTGTGTTTAAGCACTGCTAGGAATGGAGGATAATACAAATACCAAAATAAAATAGTCTCTGTCCTCAAGGAGTTGGCATTAATTATTGAGAGATACAACGTGTACCTATATAAATACATTCAAGGTAATCTGTGAATGGGGAGAAGTACTGGGAACTGGGTGGGGTGATGATCAGAAAATAATTCATGTGGCTCTTGACCCGAGCTTTGAAGGAAACCAGGGTTTCTGAGAGAACGGAATACATTACAGGACTAGAGGACAGACTGGGTAAAGCCCTAAGAACACACACTATGAAAGGGCAGTCAAAATTGCCAATCTTGGTCCCAGAGAATAAACAATGAAACACATTCATTTTTCTTCTCTTCGTACAACAGTGAGTGAAACAATAGTAGTAGGATGTTGCATGCACTATTTGTCATGTCATTTTGTCAGTTGTTTTTGCTTAACTGTTTTTCTTTATAAAAGGGAGAGTTCTATGAGGGGCTCAGAGTGGGGGGTGGGATACATTGACAAATGCCTATGATGTAAACAACCCAAACCATAAATACATCATTTAAAAAGTAAATGGGGAAGAAAAAGAGGAACAAGATTAATTTATCAGGTCTTTTTAAAAAATGCCAAATGGCATGTAAGAATCTTGCTCTAATAGGACTATATTTATTCTTGGATTGCCTTTACACTTTTATATCCCACTCTCAGATAACAGAATATGTTTTATCATGGTAGAAAACAATTTAGCTGGCATAGCACAAAGTGGTCAAAACACTGTATTTTTTTTTCCCTCTTTTATGAGTCTGACATTTAATAACAAAAGTATTTACAATTCAGGGATCCTTAAAATTGGGTTTATAAACTTGGTTTTTTAAAAAATATTTTGGCAATTATTTCAATGTAACTGGTTTTCTTTGTAATCCTATATATTTTATCCATTCGAAAATATTATTCTAAGAAGGGGTTGAAAAGGTTCACTAGACTGTTGAAAGGGACCACGTGACAAATAAAGGTTAAGACTTCTTGTTATAATTAGGTATAATCTTTTTTTTTTTCAAACACCCATGAGTCATAGTAGACCACATGCCAAAAGAAAGAGAGAAATATAAAGTAAAAAAAAAAAGTAAGTATGCATAGAGATAATAGGAACTGTACTCTCCATGCTAAACAGTTTCTAAAACACAATCCGTGGAGATCTAAAGAGAAAACAATCAACTCATGTGTGCTAATGGAAAGGGGGAGAGAAAATTATGGTTAAATCTATATTCAATACATGGAGTACTAAGTTTTTCTCCACCTAGTACTCTTCCCTAAATGCATGAAAATATAAGCTAAAGAAATAGCATCCACTGGACATAAAAAAGGGATTAGAGTGCCATCTACTGTCCAAAGTAGACACCTAAAGTAGCTTAAAAAACTGCAATTAACTACATTAAACCTGTTCCTTCAAATATTCCATCATTTAAATGCAAAAAATAAAGCTAACCTTTCTAATATCTTTGCTTTTCTTGAAACTTTATTACAATCTCTAAGTTAACAGGGAATTTTAGACCAAATTATTAGGAATTCATCTTTGGAATGTAACCAGTGACATATTAATGTATGCATAACATTAGCACACTTGGCTAACTCAAGGGGGGAAGTTTACATAACTATATACCAAATTCTGAAAAAATGTGGTGAAAAGGAAAGGATATATGTTATAATCTTACTCCCATACCACTAAGCTATTATAGAAAAAACTAATCTAGTCCCAGAAGATAAAAGAGGCAACTTAAAAAAACAATCAGCTTTTACACAGTATACCTAGGTGGCACGGTGGGTAGAATGCCAGGCCTGGAGTCAGGAAGACCCAAATTCAAATACTGCCTCAGACACTTAGTAGCTGTGTGATCCTGGACAAGTCATTTAACCTCAGTGTTCCTCAGTTTCCTCATCTATAAAAATGGGGATAATAATAATACCTACCTCCCAGAGTTGCTGTGAGGACCAAATTAGATAAGATAATAACACACAACACAGTGTGTGGCACACAGTGTTAGATAAATGTTAGTACACCCGAGTTATAGATAGCTACACAAGGGCTAAACATTCTTCTGAGCTGAAGTGAGGGCCTCAGAGTTCTACTATAGAAACAAAAAAAGCACCTTTTCTCCCATACACTACTACATGGAAGAGATAAGAGTTTAATTTATCTGCTTATAGGCCAGGTTTTTATTCAGACATCCTCTCCAGATCTTTAGGTAATTTCAGCTTTTGTCTCAGCAGCTAATACAGTACCCGGCACACAAAGAAGGTACTTAATGTTTATGGACTGACATTGCTTGGTTGCTCTCTTACTGTGCTGAGTAATAAGAAAACCTTTGAAACCTAGGTCCTGGACCCAGGTAAGGTTCAATGGGGGCATTTTATTATTGGTTTACTTCAGAGAGACCTGTCTATTCCTAGAATGGAAGACCATAAAAAAGAACTATGCCAGGAATCGGTATAAAGAAAATGGGCATTTTTAAGTTACATTCCACAGTGCTTTATATAGTCAACCAGGGATAGGTGACCAATACACATCTGCTAACTGAACTCATTTTTCTCAAATTAGCTCTCTAGATATACTCTAAATGTATATAGTCCAAATGTAATTCCACAGGCAAGTATAAAACACTTCTAATTTAATGCTATTTTAGGTTATTCCTGACCCTTCTCTCCTTCCCATTACTGGAAATAACTTACAACATTCGTCTAAAAGTATTTTGAACTTTGACTTCATAGGGTTCATTTGAATACAAAACTGAAAAAGAGAGTTGAGTATACACCTAAAACATGCCAGTAGGTGGAGCCATAAGATTAGCACTTCATTTAAAATGCCAAACTATGAAAATAGATGATGATGATACTAAAATGTGCCTAAGTTTCATCACTGGAGGAAAAAAGGCTATATGAAATTACAGAACAAATCATTTTCCAGTAACTATAACTTTCTCAGTGTCATTCATGCAAAATATAAGTGTGTGAATAGATAGGAGTATGTGTGTGTGCGCGCGCACATGCATGCAGGCACATTATATATTTATCAAAATGGCATTCCCTGTACTGGTTTACAAACATTTTAGCTCAGAGAACAAAAGTCAATATTCTGCCTTTTCAAAAGAAAATAGAGATATTCTTCCTACTTTCCTTGCACTAATTCTAAGGGACTAACTTGAATTCTACACACAAAAGGGAGCAGTGTATAAGAAACAGAGTTGGCTTTAGGTCCTTCCCCTGACACATAATGGCTAACGCTGGGTATGTCACTTAACCACTCAGTGTTCTAGGTCAGTGATGTCAAACACCCAGCTCAAGTGTGCTAAGTCACATGTAGCCTTCAAGGATCCTTATGTACAGATTAGTGGTCCTCATTTCTACATGAGTTGGATATCACTGCTCTAGATAACTTTAAAATATAAATCTTAAAGAAGATTTTGACAGAGAAGGTACCAATTTGAATTTGTAGTTTCTTCATCTAAAGGTTCTTTATGTCAATAAAATGACAGGTCTAGTCCCTATAATTACTTCCTATCGATATGCTTGTACCTCTATATGCATGTGTCTGTTTGCACATACTACTCTGGCAGGCCTCAACAACCTGGTAACACTGTGTAAAAATCTAACAATGGCCTGTATGCCTTTCATCAGAACACCAACTTAGTTAAGGTCAGAAAGGCTCAGCAAAAGGTTAACCACCAAATGATGAATTTGTTAGGCTAGCACACCTCATGAAGACCTTCTGCTAAGCTATGGAGGTGTTACAATTGACATTGGTGAAAGAAATAGCCATGTCTATGAAATCAAGAAAGTTGTGAAGTATTGAAATTAATCTATTTACTAAATAAAGAATAAAAAGTAAAGAGAAAAAAAAAGTCATAGCATCACAGATGTAGAGCTGGAAAGGACCTTAGAGCTCACCTGGTGCAATTCCTTCACTTTCTGGCTAAGGAAACAATCCAGAAAGGCTAAGGGATTTATTCAAATTTACATAGGCAGAAAGTAACAAAGAAAAGATTCAAAACCAGGTCCCTAACTTCAAATCTTGCCTTCTTTTTACTACAACAAACTGCCTTCAATTTTCTTTTTCTTAGAGCTACCAATTCATAATTTTTGCATTTAAAAATGTATGTTAAATTCTGTTTTACATTTTTGAAATTCATTCTGACGTAGGCAAGGCTTCAATATGGCTTTTAGGGAATCACACTCAAAATGCCTACCATTATTTCCATTCTATAAGACAGCAAAGAAGCTATTTAAATCAGGATTTAACAAAGCAGTATTATCCGAGTAATATAACAGCACTAGCAAAAGTTTATCTAGTTGTAATCGTAGTTCCCCTTCAAATATCATCCCCTAATTATGCAACATTAAATTCCAAAGTAATTTAGGGAAACAAAATATTTTTTAAAAACCGAAAACACACACATCTAGATATCTTTATTTATCCTCATATATGTCTAATTATAAAAGAAACTACTTATATATACTTACTCTCCCAGCTTCATCTAGTGCAAGAATACAAATTTTTTGACCCCCATTCTCTTTCAGATGCTGAGGATCAACTTTATATTCCATATGTCCCCCAGACACAAGAACCTTTTTCAAGTTGAGTTGCCTAAATAAATAGAAGAGTAATAGGTTAGCATTCCCCACAAAAGAAAATGCTTAACTTTAAAAAACTACCTAGTATAGCAAGCAGTAGAGGCAAACTTAAATGACACAAAATTGTGAAGTGATCAGAGTTTGGCTTAGTTATACCCAGCATCCCCTTTCTAAGCCTGATCCTCCTTCTACTGTGCTTCCACCCACCTTACTTGGGCCCTCAATAAGCAGCCAATGTTCTCCTATTCTCTTTCCCTAACCCTCTACCAAAACCTTAATAAACTCCTTCACACTACAGGATAAAAGACTGATAAAGCTTAAAATATTCATTATCCAAAAATTATTTGCATTTCAACAAAGAAAAAGCCAAATTAATGAAACTATGAAGAATTATACGTTCTAGTATTATTCCACAAGTAAAGAAGTAAACAGCTACAACCATCCTGGTGCCTTTGATATCACATACACTTCCTCATAAGGTTAGTTTTGAAAAGAGCTAACTAAAATAAAATATCTCTATTTCTGAATTAACTCATCTATTATCCTTAAACTTCTGTGCTTTTCCAGCTATACAGTATCTCAGTGACACGAACAACTTTGAACAGTTTTTAGGTTCAAAAGAGATAAAATGATCTGCCTAATATGCTAAAGTAAATTAGTCATCTTTGTATAAATTAGTCTTCTTTGCTAACTGAAACTTTTACTCTGTAACACTCTTCTGTATTAAAGATCTTTTGTATTAAAGATCTAGATACAACCTGTATTTAGGAAGCAAAGAAAACAAGGATATCCCTACAAGTATTCAGCTACACAGTATGATTTGAGGGATAAAGGATAGATTCTTTACCCTAAAATGTCTCCCCATCTGTTACAGTGCCTGAAATTCAACAATTAATGATCCATTCTTTGTGGCCTCAAAGAGATGCCTATCAAAGGGTAAAAATCCTATGGAGGTATTTGACCAAAATTGTATGAGAACATGAAGCAAGTTATTAGGCACCTTGGAAGAGGGGGTAGGAAGGTGATAAAAAAAAAAAAAACCATCTTTTACTTACTTCATAATTTTATTGCCATTTTTGAACATACGATACTAGAAATATAAAAACATACATTAAAGAGACAGTATGGAATAGTAGATAGAGGGCTAGCCTCAGAGTAGAGAACACCCAGGTTGAAGTCCTGTCTCCAACACATATTAGCTATGTGATTGTGGAAAACTCACCTACCCTATCAGACACCTAGGTAACTCTCTAAGATTCTCAAGTTACAAAAGAGTTTCCAATCTTCATCAGGAGGCATTTATACACAGTGCCTTACCGTGATGAAATCAAAGGTCCAGACCAAAATAAAATCAAAAAAACTTTCAGTAGTCTAGTGTATATTTTATATCCATAAAGAATTCAGGAAATATAACTTATAAGCCTACATATCTGAGGGCAGTGAAAATGGCACAGCCCTAAGAAAGGCACAATAGATACCACAGGCCTACATTTAGAGATTGAAGTAGTGGGCATACAGAGGAAAACTGGAATAATTTCTGACACAAGTATACCAAATTTTACTACATTCTCTTGTCCATTAGATCTACACTTTCTTTGAGGAGAGGAAGAAAAAGACAGAATGTTGTGAAGGGACATCTAGCACAGATTCTGAGCCTCAGGATATCAAAAGCACTAATGAGACATGTGTGCAGGAACTCCAAGTTTGGCAGATGTATGTTTGCTCTGCATGTAAGATGTTTTTTGAGTATGCATATCCCATGTCATTTTGGAAGGTTTTGAGGTTGGCACCTCTTGTGAGCTTTGTCAAGCTCCGAGAACTCATTCACCATATCAGTCACCTACATAAAGGATCCTGAGTCTCAAGAAGCAATAAGCACAAGATGTCTTGCTCCAAAGGCATCAAATCTATCACAGAAGTAAAGTTTCAACGGTCATCAGAGCAGCAGGGAGACTACCCTAAAGGGGCTCTGGATTTTGGCTGACATTCCTGCAGGGGAAAAAAAATGGAGAGATGTAGAGGCCAGAACTCAACGACCCAACAGCAGTCATTAATGATTTGATATTCATTTGGAAGGTCTTCAGTGCAGTCACCCAGGACTCTGTTAGGTTTGCCCTATGCTACTTAATATTTTTACAATGATTTCATTTAAGGAAATATGCTAGGAGAGACAGATAATACATAAGATAACAGTCAGGATTTAGACCTTGTTTATCAGGATAGAACACTGGGCCAAATATAGTAAAATAGAATTTAAAAGGGACAAATGTAAAGTTTTACACTTGGGCTCAAAAAACTCAACTTTACAAGTAAAGATCTGAGGATTTTAAGGGACTACAACTCAATATAAGGCAATAACATGATACGGTAGCCAAAAAGGCTTCATAAGACCTTAGGACACATTGGGAGAGACATTACTTCCAGGAATAAGAAGGTGATAGTGCCTCTATACTTTACCTTGGTCAGATCATATCTAAAGTATTATATTCAATTCTGTGCACCAGTGTAGAAAGGGCAATGTTAAGTTAGAGAGTGTCCAAAGAAGAGCAATAAGGATGAAAGGATTTAAGCTTATCCTATATGAGAATCTGAAGAAAGAAATGGGTGAAGATAACCAGCATGGAGAAGACTTAAAGAAGAAATGATACCTGCCAAGTATTTGAAAGACTTTAACACAGAAGTGGGATGAAACTTGTTCTGCTTTTCCCCAGATGCTCCATATCCCCCTCTACTCTTCCATTCCACTGTATCCTCTGAAGTCCCATTCTACTGTTGACAAACTTCCCTTCATTCTAAGCTTCTTCTTTTTATATGCTTGACATTTTCTTGTGCTAATGAAAATCAGGGGGATATTGTATTCCTGGCAATCATCTCAATCAATCATTTACTATGTGCTAGGCCCTGTACTTGCTTCTGGGTTCCTGCTCTCAATACACTCTAGTACTGAATGTTCCTTCTCTCCTGACATCTCCCACTAAGTCAGGGTATCCTCAACTCCCACTTCAGGCCGTACCTTTGCAGGCGGCACTCAGCAAACAATCAATTTTTGTGCTTCGCTCCACCTGCCTGAACAGGGCCCCATTCCAGGCACATTGTTCATTCCCACAGTATTCACTGCTTCTCAAGCAATGGAAAAATCCATAGTTTCTATGACTCCAAACAAATCTAAGTAATAACCAGTTGTGAAAACAAATAATCTATATTAATGCAAGACAGAAAACATACTATTTAGGCATGAATCATGGGGGTGAAAGAAATCATGTTAGAGCATAATATAAAACTAGAAGGGACCTAAGAGGCCATCTAGTACAATTCTCCCATTTTATAGATGAGGAAACGGAAGCCCAAGAATCTAAATACCTTGCTCAAGGTCAAATAGCAAATAAGTATCAGATTTAGGTTCTGAATACAGATCCTCGAACTCAAAAGCTGGTGTTCTTACTTGCCGTTGACAAGTCAACGAACAGTATACCCCTACCATAAAAAATTAAGAATGACATGGAAATGCATAAATAAGAAAACAATGTAACATTCCAAAAGCTGTAGCCAAAAACAAGAATATCAAAGGCAAAGACTATCCCACTGATGGCTTTCACCTTCTTACTCTTAAAACACCCATTATCCCTATCAAGACACTAAAAATAACAAAAACCAGTAGTTGGATATCTGACTTTTCTGCTATTCATCACCCTTGGAGAAACGAAACCCAGAAGTATCCACATGCCATGTAAAAAAAGAAGTAGCTATGACCAGGATAGCAGGTTCTAAACAGCTAGCTAGAAACAAGTTAAAGGGTGGAGGGGATGGAATGGGCTGCGTAACAGAAAAGAATAGAGTATGTAAGAAATATATGCCACTTTAAGAAAAAAGTGTCTGGAGTCAGAGACAAAGGAGACTAGAATTTGCTGCTGAGGAAGAAGGGGAATGAGATTTAGGGAAACAAGGCTTAAATATGCCATTGTAGAAAACAAAATATTATTAGCAACCAAATACTGCTTCAATAGATATTGCCTGAAATGGCAGCAATGGGGTCACATGTCAGAGACAAGTGCTGCCAAAATATAAGTAACTGACAAACCTGGCCTCAGATAAACCACCTAACTATTCTGAAAGGAATCTCCTTGTCTTTAAAAAGAGGAAACTGAGTTAAAATGATCTCTAATATTCTTAAATTCTACATTCCTATGAATATCATTAATGTTATCCAAAAATGGAAAAAATTATTCACCATCTATACCCAAAGAGGCAATCCACATAAGCATCATATCCATGTATATGTGTGTGCATATGTATGTGTACGTATGTCTACATATACATATATATGTTTATATATATACATATACATATATATAGTGCTCTTTGAATATCAAATTTTAAAATGAGACAAATGAAATAAAAAACTATTCTTTAAACAGGTAAACACATACTTTGAAGCCATCTTCTTGCACTGATAATCAGCAAGTAAATAAATATCTCCTTTTTTTGTAACACACACTGTGGCACCATCACTTGCAGCAACCAAGGACACAGTGACATCTTTATGATGCAGAGCTGAGACTTGCCGGGGAGCCGTTACACACTTTTCTCCATTGGGATCTAGTAAATAACCTACAGGGGATTGAACAAATCAAGTGTATTACAAAATATCATTTTTGAAGGTTTTTGAACTATTTCAAATTTAAATTTCAGGTATTATTAATAAAAGTCTCTCACCTAGTTGTCCACCATTTAGTCCCATAGTATAAACAGCTTCTTTAGTCCACAGTACTGTATGGAACCTGCCGGCAGCCACTCCAATAATTGTTCTCCCTTTCAGATTTTTTGCCTGAATCTATACATAAAAACATACGATATCTGTGGCAAGTATATGTTCCTTGTTATCTAGCATTTAAGAATGGATAAAATGATTCAAGAATGGAGTTCTCTGGCTAATTCATTTAAAAACTAGTTGAACGGAAAATTAAGGTTCACTTAGCAAGTTCATTTAACAAGTTTACTTAACAAGGTTCTGTAACAAGAAAAAAATGATGTCCTTATCTCAAAATATGATTACCTTCAATAAGTCTAAATCTTAACATTTATCAGTTTATTTAAGCAATCTGTAACAAGAAAAAAAATATAATGCCTTTATCTAGAAATTTGCTTCCTTTTAATAAATCTGAACTTTAATATTTATCTTAGTCATCTGAGCCAAACTCATAAGCTCTCATTTTATTCAACATATTTACAAAGGTCTGTTATATGAACAAAATCTACTAAAACTGTATAACTATACAGTATCTACAAAATGGTCAACTGTCCTGTGTCCTAAGCTTCTTTTGCTAATAGAGGATATTTAAGCAGCAGAACACTAAATACACACTAGAACACTAGACTGTAATTTAGAGGTTTGTAGGTCTAGAAAGTATTTGATCATTAACAAATCCCATTTACCAATCTATTTGCTACTAATAATAATGCTAATGACATTTATCTAGCACTTGAAAGTTTACAAAGTGTTTTATATAATCTCATTTGAACCTTTATGATACACAATACAATAAACATTTACTAAGCACCTACTATGTTCCAAGCACTATATTAAGAGCTGTATATCAAATAAGAAAAAAAAGTCTCTACCCTAAAGGAATTTACACATGCCTCACAAAATCCTCATCTTGCAGATGACGAAACTAAAACTCAGTGAAATTAAGTGACTCGCCCATCGTTTTTAACCCTGCTCTTCCTGACTCTGAATATAGCAATCTAGTAAGACATCCTCTCTCGATATAAAAAATAAATAAAAACAAAGTCACATGTAGTACTAACTTTGAAATCAAACACAGGAAAAGACCAGTGCACAAATCTGATATGCAATATAGTATAAATTTTTAATATTTGTTAATGTTTATATGTGCAAATGATATACTGATTAACAATACTGAAAAGAAAAATAAGCTACTATCCTAATATCTTTGATATTTTTAGTCATTAAGGTGGAAAACTAAAGATATTTTACCTGTCTTGGTACACTGCACCTAGCTGGTGGAGGAATAATACCCAATTGATGAAAAGTATTTAGACCAAAAGTATAAACACCTCCTTCTTCAGTTAAAACAACAGTATGATCCTTAGCAGCTGCCACTTGGGAGCAGTTATGACCAATTAGTCCTTCCACAAGCCTAGGGACCTAAAATACAAAGGATTATTAAATTTATTATCATACATTTATTCTAGTAAATAAAAAAATTTTAATTCTAGAAAAAAATTACTCTAGTAAAAATGAAATAACTATGGGTGCTATAGTCCAAAGTGGAATCCATAAATAGGTCATTTCTCCACAAAATAAATGCTCCCTTTCCTCAAGGGAGATACCAGTTTGTAAAAGAATGGGTACTTGTTTCTTTAGGACAGAATCATGCAAGCTGCTTAAATGAAACAATTCAACAAATATTTACTAAGAACTTAGGATGTGCCTAGTTTATCTATATTAATTATTTTGCTAAGAACAAAGAGAGGTCTCTAGCCAAAATGTTCATTGGTATGTGAAAACAATGTACATCACATCACTAATAATGTTTATAAGTGCCTTTTCAGGCACAGTCACTAGTCAGAGCTCTTACTTACTTACTTACTTACATACCCACTGACCCTGGACTAACATCCCCACAAAAACCTTGATTCAAGAAGATATAAACAGAAGCATTATAAAACCTTGGAAGACTATAGATAGTTTTTGTTTGTTTTGGTTTTTTTTACATCACCTTTCCTTTTACTTAACAATATCTTCTAACAGATGGTACAATATGCCAAAGGAAAGATTTTTTCATCTGACTTTTAAGGAAAAAGAATTTTAATTTTGAAAAATAAGAAATAAATTTATGTGATCCCACTGACTTAAACTCATTGGCCATGAAATTAGGCAGCAAAAGAATAAAATTTGAGGTTTTATAAGGAAACAGTACCCTAAATTCCTAAACCACAACCCGTGACAAAGAAATTTAATATTATAAAATAAAACCTTATTTAACTGAATATTTAGGGATTGGGATAATCTTGTTAACTCTGGATTAAACAAAAACTTATTTTTGTTTCAAATTCTTACTGAAAATATAAGATGTATACCATTTCGTTCAATGAGTTATAAGTACATGAATCATAATAAACCTAATTTTCTTAGACGAATAAGGATTTATAAAGTCATTTTTCATTATCATTTTGAATATATGCTTTTAAACTGTAGTTAATTTGTTTTAGTGCATTCTTGATATTATTTGTACATGTTATTTTCCTAAATGTGAATATCCTGAAAATTAAAATTTCTAATTAATCAAGGTCTTATAAAACTGAACAAATTATGCATTAAAATTGTTTTTCAAAATACCAGGCATGTTTGTTCATCTCCATGACCTAGGCGTCCTCCTTGACCATGACCACAGGTGTAAACTTGCCCTTTCTGAGACAGAAAAACGGAATGAAATGTACAAAGTACCACCTATAGAAGGGAAAAAAGAATTTTATTAAAGATCCTATCAACATAACATGCTTTCTAGTTATAATTATATTCAAATTCAAAAATTTTAAAGCTAAAGAACCAGGCACTAGCTTACAAAAGAGACAGAGTGAAGGGAACTTAAAATCTTCAATCAACAAGCTTTTATTAACCACCTACTATTTGCTAGGCACTGGGCATACAAAGAAAAAAGTAGATGATACCTGCCTTCTAGGAACTTACATTCTATAAGGGAAAACAACTCATACACATATAAATACATGCAAAGTACAGAAGCTGAGGGGAAAGGTCTCCAGTAGGAAGCAATACAAGCTAAGTTTTGAAAGGAGCTAGGGATTCTAAACGGCAGCAGTGAACAGGGAGCATACTCTAGGCTTTGAGGGCAGTGTATTCAAAGGCACAGTGCTTGGCACATAGTATATGCTTAATAAATGCTTTTTCGTTCCTTTATGGATATATGAGATGACATGCAGCATATGAAAAACAGAAAGAAGATTAAGAGGAGCAATGAACAATAAGCTTTGAAAAAGTAGGCTGGAATCAGACTGTGAAAAGCTTTAAAAGTCAACAAGAAGAGCTTGTATGTAATTCTAGAGGCAATAAAGGGACACTGGTACGTTTTCAACAGAGGAATAATACCATCAGATCTATTCTTTAGAAATATGATTTTGGCAGCTATGGCCAGGAGTGAGGTGAGAGGAAAGACTTGAGACACAGAGAAACCAAGTAGGAAGTCATTGCAGTAGTCCAGGTGAAGATGCTAAGATCTAAATTAGGATGGTGGCCATGCAAATGGCATGAAGGGGACACATTTCAGAAATGTTGTAGAGGTAGAATGAACAGGACTGGATGTGGTGGGTAAGGGGGACCAGCACTCGAAGTGCATGAACTTAACCACTCTGGAACCAAACTCTTTCCAAGATTAAAACAATACTGAAAAGCTAGACACAGAAGAACTATGCAAGTTTAGTCTATAATTCTCAGATCAAAACTTGGCACCCATAGGTGGCCCTCTCTCTTTCAAAGTAAACTAGGCTAGTCTTTAAACAAGATACCAAAGAGATCTATAACAAACATTTGTGTATCTAACACCTTGTAAAGCAGTAACAAATGTCTTTATGGCTAGACAAAGAGAAAGATACAGGCTAAAACAAAGAAAAGTTCTAGACATATGCCTGTAGGGGAAAAGAAGAGGCAATAATAATTCCTACGCAGTTTGAAAAATATATGTGCAAAACCTTAAGAATGAAGCAGGTTTCTTTGGTTCTGTGTTGCTGTTGCTTCAAGTTTTGAAAAGGGCAGTTTTATTTTTTCTTTATGCTGTCTTGGAGAACTTAGAAAGTATTTCTCCCCAACCTATCCCCTTCTGTCTCTGTGATTTTCTATGAAAGTTGAAAAACTCTGTTGTTTTCTGCCTAACCAATAATTCCAATGTATTTTATCAATTCCATCCTCAAAACACCTTAATTTGATCCATTCACCTCCACTAGTTATTATCCCATATTTCTCCTCCCTGTAGTGACTAACCACCTTAAGAGGACAATTTACCATCTATGACTCCACTTCCTTTCCTCTCATGCTCTTAACATTCTACAGTCTGGCTTTTTGACCTCATTATTATTCAACCAAAACTGCTCTTTCTCTAAAGTTACCAATGATCTCTTAGTTGCAAAATCTGACAGCCTTTTCTCAATTATCACCTTCTGGACTGCTCTGCAGCCTCTGACACTGTCAATCAACCTTTCTCCTTGATACTCTCTTCTCCCTAGGTTTCCAAGATACTACTCTAACCAATTGTCTTCCTACCTGTCTGACAGTTCCTTCTCAGTCTCTTTTGTTGACTCTTCATCCAAGTCACACCTCCTAAAGGGGGTGTCTCCCAGGCTTCTACTCTACTACACTTGGTGATCTCATCAGTTTACATAGATTCAATTATCATCTCTATGCTGATGATTCTCAAATCTACTTATCTAGCCCTAACCTTTCTTAACCTCCAGACTCCCATCTCCAATTGCCTATTAGACATCTCAAACTGAATGTGCCATAGACAATTTAACAAGTTTAAAACTGAATTCATTATCTTTCCCCTGGAATTCTTCCCTCTTCCAAATATCCCTTTTACTGTCAAGGAGACCACCATCAACCCCATTACCCAGGTTCAGAACTGTGTATTCTAGACTCCCCACTCTCATTTCTCATATTAAATCCACTGATTTTACTTTCATAACAACTCTCAAATATACCTCCTCTCCTCTGACACCGCCACCTCCCTGGTACAGGCCTTATCACCTCACATCTGGATTCATCTCCCTGACTCAAGTCTCTCCCTATTCCAGTTCATCCTCCAGTCAGCTGTCAAAAGTGATCTTTCTAAAGTATCAGTCTGACCGTGTAACGTTTCCTTCCCCTCCCCTGTCAACAAACTCCACTGGCTCCCTATCATCTCCAGGATCAAATATAAAATTTTCTGCTTAGCATTCAGAGTCCTTCGTAACTTAATCCCTTCTTTACCTTTCCAGTTTTCTTACTTCTTATTCACCTCATACTCTACCATTCAGTGACAGGGGCCTCCTTGCTGTTCCTCAAACAATACATTCTATCTCCCAACTCTAACCATTTTCCCTGATTATCCCCCATGCCTAGAACTCTCTCCCTTCTCATCTTCACCTCCTGGCTTCCTACAGGTACCAGCTTATATAATAGCTTCAAAGACTTAATGATTAATTTCCCCAAATAAAAGGAAATATAGGTGAGTTCTTGCTAAAAAAAAGAATATATTAATATAAGTCTGATTTCTTCATGAAAACATATTACTCACCTGTTCAACATTAATCTAAATAAAAACCTAAATTATCAAACAGATTTTAGCTGTTGCTTTTTAGGATTCCAGAAGTATTAAATGTTATACTACAAAATACCTGCTTGATATAAATTCCAGCTCTGGAGAACAGATCCACCAACTCAGGATGATGCTTACTATTTTGGCTTCCATGACCCAGGGTAAAATTTATGTTATTTCCCCAAGTGTAGACATCTGTAGGATCTAAGATGAAAATGAGTGTTCATTTTACTTTTCTATTTTCAAACAATAAAAGCTTACTTTTATTAACATTGATAATTGTAAGCATATTTAACTTCACTAATTTAAACTTCACTAATTTAAACAAGTAAAACAAAACTAAAAGTGGAGAATATGATCATATTTATAACTATGTTTTCAACTTATTCGAATTATGAGATTATTAAGATCATCTGTGATCATATTGTTCCAAATAAAGAAGAACCTTAAATTAGCCAATGTGGAATTCAATACTAGCTACTAAGGAAATCTTCGCTTTCAATAGGTTTTCTTTTGTAAATGTGAAACTACACCAGGATTAATATTAGGGCATTACAGTCTGGGTTTGTAATATAAATCTTTAGTCTTAATCTGTGATAGAATTATGTCTGTTTTTTATCTCTGTTTCATTTGCAGGGATTGAAGTTTGCATCCTAGATGGTGGTAGTATCCACAATAGTGAAAATATTTTAACTATCGAAGAAACTACAGCTCAGTGCTAGAGGTTGAGGGTAAAATGGGAAAAGTGGTATCCTTATTTTCATTCTTTTTTGGGCAGCTTTCATTCAGTTCCTTCCCCGTTTATCAGATGAAAAGCATATAACTTCTCCTTTTCCCCTCGATCATTCCCAAAGCAAGAAGAAAACAAATTACACTGACATGATGGTCCATATTGGTAGGTGGAGCCATATTCATTCATTCTTTCTCTACCTTCTCCCCTTTTATGCTAAACTCTTCATTAGTCACATATTCAATTGCTACTTTTCTCCCCAAGACCAGATCTCATTCTCTTGTCCCCCAGTGTCTCTAAATGTATGTCTAAAAGGTAACAAATGCAGAATGGAACAAAGTGTCATAAAAACCACCACCAAGAGTAATTCTTGAAGATGCTCACATTAAAATCAGCTTATTAGAACAAATATACATTTTCATAAGCATATTGCTAGGAATAAAAGTCATCAACAGGTCCCCAATAACATACTTGTTTGGATCTCAATTTCCTCATCTGACAAATGAGAGAGGGAGTCAACTAGATAACCTTTCAGGTCTCTTCCAGCTTTAAATCTATGAAACTATGAAGAACACGTGTTCATAAGAATATATCTTACCAGTATTCTTGAATACTACATGGGCTGGTCTGTCCTTCATTACAAGATCCAAAGCTGATAAACCTTCTTTATCCTGGATATACAAACTAACACCATGCTAAAGGGGGTAAAAATCTTATATCAGAGGGTTACCTATAATCAATTTTTTATTCCTTACATAGCAAAGAAGGCAGAACAGCAATATTGTTCATAAAATACAGATGAAAACAAAGTAGGATTCTTTACTTCATACATTTAAAATAAATCACATTCACAAGACCTAAGAAAAATTAAAATTACTAATGTCGATTCTATTAAATTGAATCCAAATTTATTAAGTGCCTAGTGTGTGCAAGGGACTGGCTCACACAACAAAAATACAACAGCTTATGGTCTCAAAGATTAAGATCCAGTTACAATGCCAAACTTAATACATTTTTGACAAGCAAAAAAAAAACTTCAAGAAATTTTTATACAAGATATAACAGTTCAAAAACATCTATAAAACTAGGCATAATATCCAACAATCTTTCTGGACCATAGTCAAAAACCAAGAAGTAAGCAAAAAAGGATTCTGACCAGTCAAAATAGATGTGATAAAGTCCATGTCCTAAAACAGTATGCACTTTATTCAAATAAAAGCCCATCAAGCCCTCACTTGAAGACTTTAAGAAGCTTCAGGAAATTCAATATGCTAACACATCATGGAGCTCTGATTTCCTCAATGTGAGTACTCTCACCACACATGCAGAGCATGACTTTTTAAAATCTAGAAGAGTCTTTAAGAGTTGCTAAGGCTGCAGTTTAATCACCAACAATCAACCTGGTGAAGAGCTGCTCATGACTTGGCTAAGCTGCTCCTCTACAGTAGACATACACTCTTATCACCAGGTCTGACTGGCCTTTTCAGTGTAGTAGGAGCTGCCAGAACTTCTGTTCAGAAGAACAGCCTTCAAGACATCTGAGTCACCTCCAAGATACAATGAGGCATTAGAGTAGGACTTTAGTGATGGTAATTAGCAGCAGCTATTCATTCTTAATATGCAGAGATTCTAACAAGGATCAAAGGTGGTCTAGTTTTCAAAATCATCAAAAATAAGAATCAGCAAATCAGGATACTGTGGGGAGAGACTGTTCCAGAAAAAGAAGCAGAAAGTGAGCAGCTATAGGAGACGCTGAGGAAAGACATAGAAAAGATTAGAAAAATTAAACACAAGAATTGATAAAGCACAACAATATAGGCCAATGAGTTTAGGTACCAAAAGCTCTTCACATCCCAATAAGACCCAAGGGTATAACTATAATACAATATAGTAAAAATAACCACTGCTTGTAATGATAACCCTCCATCTTCAACATGAAGAGTGAGCTACACACAATACCTCCACTATGGAAAGAAATAAAGAAATAAGATGGACACATTTTCACTTATTTTAAGTTCCTGCAGACAGTCCTAACAATTATACTGACAAATATACTGACAAGAAAGCCAATTTTCACAAAAATTGCTTTTTAAAACTTTAACACTATAGCATAAATGTGAAACACAAATAAAAGTAGAAACTTCATTTTACTATTTAAATGTTCCAAGACTAGATGTAAATAAGTTTGCCAGTTGATCACAATTAACTAAATTAAGTGATGAAAGTAGCTATTATGAAATAAATATCTAGCATAAAGATATAACTGAATGGACCGTTAAACAAAAAAACTTTCAATTCTAACTAGTCTCAATTTAAGAACTGTTTCTACTTAGTCTAACCAGCAAATAAAAATCCACACATTTCATTTAAGAGCTACTGTTAACTCTACAAAAAAAAAAAAAGGTTTACTTCATGTTTGTTTTTTTTTTAATTGTGATTTGGTGGAGTTGTGCACTGATCCAACCATTCTGGAGAGCAATTTGGAACTATGCCCAAAGAGCTATAAAACTGGGCATATCCTTTGACCCAGCAATACCACTTCTAGGTCTGTATCCCAAAGAGATCATAAAAACGGGAAAAGTACCCACATGTACAAAAACATTTATAGCAGCTCTTCTTGTGGTGGCAAAGAATTGGAAATTGAGAGGATGCCCATCAATTGGGAAATGGCTGAACAAGTTGTGGTATATGAATGTAATGGAATACTACTGTGCTATAAGAAAGGATGAGAGGGAGGACTTCAGAAAAACCTGGAAAGATCTATATGAAATGATGCTGAATGAAATGAGCAGAACCAGGAGAACACTGTACACAGTAACAGCCACATCGTGCGATGACCCACTTTGATAGACTTAGCTCTTCTCAGCAATGCAAGGATCTAAGACAACTCCAAAAGACTCACAATGGAAAATGCTATCCACATCCAGAGAAAAAAGTATGGAGTCTGAATGCAGACGGAAGCATATGATTTGCTCTCCTTTTCTTTTGTTGTTGTTGTTTTGTTTCTTCTTTCTTGTGGTTCCTCCCATTAGTTCTAAATTTTTTTTACATCATGACTAACGTGAAAATATGCTTAATATGAATGTATAAGTAGAGCCTATATCAGATTGCACACCATCTTGGGGAGGAAGGAGGAGAGGAAGGAGGAGAAAATTTAAAACTCAGCACTGACCCTGAAGTCAGCAGTACCTGAGTTCAAATCCAGCCTCAGACCAAACACTTGACACTTACTAGCTGTGTGACCCTGGGGAAGCCACTTAACCCCAACTGCCTAAAAAGAAAGAAAAAAAAAAAGAAAAAAAAAAGAAAATTTAAAACTCAAAATCTTATGGAAGTTAATGTTGAAAACTAAAAATAAATAAATTACTTATTTAAAAAACTGTCATTTGCTCAATTCACCCAAAATTTGTTCTATAAAAAAGCACAAAAGATATAAAGTAGAGAAACTACAGAAAAGTTTTGTTGTTCAGTCCTGTCCAACTTTTTATGATCCTGTACAGGGTTTTCTTGGCAAAAATACTAGAGTGGTTTGCCATTTCCTTCTCTAGTGGATTAAGGCAAACAGAGGTTAAGTGACTTTCCCAGAATCACCTAGCTAGGTAGTGTCTAAGGCTAAATTTGAACTCTGGTCTTTCTGACTTCAAGCCCAGCACTCTATCTACTAAGCCACCTAGATGCCTATAGAAAAGTATAAAAGAGTAAAAGTTAGAAATTGAGAATAAAATTCAACAAGTACTTATTAAGTACACACACACATATATATGTGTGTATCTGTGTGTATGTATATATGTGTATGTATGTGTAGATGTGTAGATAGATAGATAGATAGATAGATAGATAGATAGATAGATAGATAG